GCAGGGAAAGGATTAGCTTAGGGGCGGAGCACAACCAAACTGGGGGAGGAATTTGTTTTGGTGGGGGTGGGCCAAAAATTTAGCATTTGTTTTGTAGCCTTTCAAAGCCTGTATAAGGAAGGAAAATGAACTAGACCAAAAAATCGCATTTGATTATTTCTCGAATTATACTTGTGGCCTTTTTAAGAATAGAACGTCCAGTTTGCTGAGTACGAGTACGCGTAAAAATCACATAGCTGTGCCAACGCATTGGATACGGCTGTTTCACAATAATGCGGCACCAAGAGTTTGCAACGCGTCAGCCAATCACGTGCGCGCGAGATCTGTCGACCAAATGCGCGTTTGGAAAGGGTCGACAGATTTTGTGCGTTGTGATTGGCCAACGCGTTGCAAATTCTTGGTGGTGCACTATTGTGAATCGCCCGTATTGAAAACATGCAAACGGGAAAAAGTCAACAAGTGCAATAATATTTTCCCGAATGAAACAATGCTTTCACAAAATATTAGGATGAATTAGGTCGATGAAATAGTGAATTTGCAGGGCAGCTCAGAAAGATCAATTCCATACATGAATTGTTGGACAGATTGTGATGCATAATTTGTAGGACAGAATGGTGAACTTAGAACGTATGACGAAAACGCAGCAATGGACAATGAAATTATATTATGGAATATCTAAAGTACAAAGTTGAATAAAGCAAAGCAAAATGGAATGGCGAAATTGCCGAATAGTATACCGGTACTGAAATTGCTGAATGGAAGGATGAATGGTGAATTTGTCGGATGGAAGGTTAAATTGCCAAATCAAATGATGAAATCGCTAAATGGAATGGCAAAACTGTAGAACGAATGGTGAAAAGTAACGAAACCGAAGATGCATTACCGATCGGACAGCAACGGTGTTCACTGGATTGAAGTCCGAAATTATCAAACAACTGTCGTGGTTTTTAACTTTTTGGGAATTTCTTTTCAGTTTGAAACTTAATGGAACTGATGTTTCTGCGGAAGACAACGGTTGTTAAATAATGGGAGACTCTGAGACGCTTGGTAGCGGCAAACAAACCGGCCCTTTTAATAAGTTCTGACCAAAGATCGTATAGCGCGGTTCTGACCATGCGGGTGTCGTCCTGATCTGAGCAAGCTTGTATAGTTCTGAGCATGCGCAATACCGTGAGTGTGAAGAAGGACCACAAACATATAAACGCAGAGACCGCCAGATCCTATTCAAAACTATACAGGGGTTTTTCATGACCTGCACAGTGCCCGACTTATTATGGACAAATTCCCCCCTCGTTATAAGGAATTTACGCACAGTTGAAGAATCCCAGCCATAAACTTCTATGAAAACATTTTTTTTATTGCAAAACAAAATCCTCTAGGGCCTATTTACTTAATCTGACCCATAGGGATTCAAAACAATGCGATTGCAAGATTTGAAAAGAAAAGATAGCAGTACCGATGAGCAAAAAAGTGAACCTATTTTTAGAGCACATAAACAAATACAGGCAATGTACGTGCGTTGCTCGTAATGCGCACTGGACGCGCTGTGATACATCGCTTCGCTCATACATTGTTTGCCCATACTTGTCGAAATCACCGTTATACGCTCAGGACTACATGGACTGGCGGCCTATGCGTTTATTTCTGGGTCGTTCCATAAATTTTGGGGTCCAATTTTTCCCCGTATGTCTGGCATTTGATTTTAATGTTTAGAACTCATTGTTTAATTTCCAAGGCTGAATGATTGCTGCAAATTACCTACCAAACAAATAAAAATAGTTTGAAAGCAATTTCAGTGATACATTCCTTGTCAAACTGGTCAGATGGTATGAATGTCAGAGGTAACACAAACGGAAAAAGGTCACACTTTGGACCCAAAATTTATAGAATGGCCCATGTCTGCGAGAAGGACCACAGAGGACCGGTATGTCTGCTGCCACCAGCGTCTCAAAGTCTCCCATTGTGAATTGACTTTGACTTCGTGACTTTGTTTCAAAGAAAACAACTTCAGTTGAGCTTGTGCAATTTACCTTATGGTGCCGATCTTATTCCTTTTTAGGAAATGAAGATTGGGGAACATAACAGAACCCTGTGAAAGTCAGAATGCTCATTCTCTGAGCGTTTGCAACGAGTTCATACGTCGGAGGATGTTAATTGGCGTAAACTCAGCATTTTCCTTGCCGCGATGCATCCCGTTGGACATAACGAAATAGCCGTTGTCTTTACGAAATCGAAAATCATCTCCTCAAAGCATCATCAAATTTATGCGGATTTTGTTGCAGCTGGGTTTTTGTTTTCCTGTGCAGTTTTGGGACACCCGGTGTACCTTCCGCATGACATTACAGACAACACAACAGGTTGGACAATATTGCCACCGATCATTTCCATCTCATTAAATCTCTCTGTGCAGGTGCCCTCATATCTTGCTCTTGTTTTCTTGAGTGGGAAGTTCTGACTCAAATTTTGTCCCATTTCTTTTTAAATAGAATTTTGTGGTTCTTTTTATTATTCCTTTTTGTGGAGGTAAAAATGTTTAATAAGATGCAGAGTTGCATAGGTGACAACCTTGGCTATAATCCGGTCATACAAAGTCAGGATACTGGGTATGGCATAGTTTAAGAACAAGATAATAAATTTAAAATGTAGTAGTGAAAGGAAAGTTTGTCGACCCTTTTGCTCAAGGATACTTTTGATTACCTGTAGAACTGGCTATTAAATGAAGAGGATATAATAGTCAGCAGACATCTGTGTTTTCGTCAGTTGGTAAGGAGTAATTTGTTCCGAAAACACCGCTTTTTTGGCGAGTCACTAAGTTTAAAATCACTTAATGAAACACCATGGCCTCGTTCAACATCTCTCATCCCTTTTACCCGCGGGACGTCCCCGTCCCCCACTACGTACCGAACACCTACCCCACCCACCTGCTGGTGCCTCCGCCTCTGGGCGTGTTTGCGCTCATCTTCCTGGCCGTGTGGAGGCTCTCTCGCACGGACCGCTTCGGCCGGCCGCTGGGCGGCTGGGAGAAGGCGGCGCTGAGCTGGTGGGGCCTGTGCGGTTGCATCCACATGATCATAGAGGGATTCATCAGCCTCAACAGCCGGACCTTTGCCGGACGCAATGACATATTTTCTCAGATGTGTAAGTTTTAGAGCCGGTTTTTAGGCCTATCACTTCTTCAAACTTCCAATTGGTTTTTGTGCAGTACGGATATCTAGGGATTTCTTGAAAATATCTTTGAGCTAAGGTTAAGTCCTGTGACGTAAACTTTACACGAAATTATTCCTTCTGAAACGCAACCATGGGCAAAACCGCTCAACATGACGCCATGTACGTAAACGTTGTCAAATTGAAACCCCTATATTTGTGTAGGAGAGGCAGTTGGGAATCTTTGTTGGATTCAAGGAATGAACAAAAACACGAAAAATTTGGACAATTTGACCCCCGCAGCGGTTTACAGGGTTCGTGTTGTTCCCGCATGTGGTATGATTTCTAAAATTATTTCCGGGTTTAAAATGGCAGCAAACTACGCATTAATGGGTGTACTTTTCCCATTGAAGGCAGGACTTGCTTTCATCAAAATATTGGAAAAGGAGAGCAATGTCATTAGTTTTATTACTTGTGAAGAATGCCATGCAAATCTGAATTCACTGTTTGTCTCGTTTCCACAGGGAAAGAATATGCCATGGGAGACAGCCGATATGCACAGTAAGATTTGCACTCTCTCTCACTTCTTCTGGCTTTCCAAGGAGGGTTTTGTCGCACATTTGTGCCAAAGGTTGATGGTATTTTGGAAGAATTTGCCCATCGTTTTCCTTTTGAAGGAAGCATCGGCTGTTTTTACACGGTTAAAACGTGTGGTTTATCTTAGGTTCAGAGTTACTCTCCATGCAGTTGCTCACGGTATACTAACGTTATGCCTTGGATATACAACACTTTACAGAGCAGTTCATGATAACTCTGGGACCAAAAGGTACCCTTATACATTGGAAACAAAACTATAAAAAGTAATGAAATCGGAAGGTGCCCCGACAAAAAATTACAAGAGAAGGTCAAAAGCCTTCGGGTGAAAACTATCCCCTGTTGACGGCATGTCGAAAAATGGATTTTATAACGAAATAATCTTATTTCCCCTTTCCTTATCTGTATTTCTGATATCCACCTTCATCCTGTGCAGTGGTGACGCCTGTATCACCATCATGGAGGGCCTAACAGCGTGGCTGGAGGGACCCGGATGCTTCATCATTGTGTGGTCCTTCCTGAATAGACACCCAATGCGTCACGTGCTCCAATTTGGCGTTTCTATCGGCCAATTCTACGGTAAGACAGATCAAAGTATCAGTCACGAATATTCAAAACGTAACTTGAAATTGATACTTCCGTAATGAAAATGTTTCCATCTCGTTTTGCTGCATCAGTGCCTAGATTATAAGTTGACTTTGATTACGTCTGTTTCGTTTTGTGTGGTTTAAATCCACAGAAAGGGTTTCCGTCAAGCGGCCACCACGGCCTTACGACTATCATAATTCCTCCCGTGCTGAAAACTTTCCACTGATTTTCACTGATTTTCGTTCATCAGCATTTGCGCTCGTAAATATCTAAACTGTAAATTGCCCTCTTTTCTGTAATCTTTTCTGTAATTTCTGAATGTGTTTTTGAATGCTTAGTGCAGTCTTTTGCACTATGCTCGATAACGTTGGAACACCGACAGGTTTGGTATCGTTGGTTTCCTGTCCCCACAGGACACGACGAGCTTATTAGAGTTTGTGAGGTAACAAGTCAGCGTCTTGGTGCCCACCGCCCGTAGACCTTTTTATTTTGTTACGTCACAAGCGCAGTTTTTGCCGACCATGTTTGGTAGAACTATGGCTGGCCATGTGTAGAAAACAAAGAAAATCATTCTTACAGTGTTATGAAATCTCATGCAATTTTTCGACTAAAAAAAAGTGGGGGCCTATATCTACGAAAACTCTGAGGCCTACAAAAGTACAGCAGTTTCCTATAAAAAAAACACGCGCTAAAAGATGAGGTTTTCAGTGTCACTCTTGATTGTATTTGGCGAAACTCTGAACTAGTCTTTGCTTTTATGTCTTTCCCACACACTTTAAACCTTTCTTCTTTCAAATTTGTAAATGGTTGATTTCAAGTTCGTCTCGGAAATTCATGAACTTTAATTTCATTGGTGCCCATTTTTGCAATTTTGTTCAAAATCTTATATAGGCCTAAATACCACACTTTTTTCCACAAGACAATTTGATTTCATAGTCCGCAATTACCAAAGTACCATAGGATAAAAAATTATTTTGCGAGCAATGTTATATAAAGTTCATTCATAATTATTTGTGACATGATTGTATACTGTCCTTGGTGTTTCTACGCTTACATATGTTCATTTCAATCTCTTAATCATATTTAACTTATAAATATTGGGCAAGTATGTTTCTTGTTTAACATAGTTCAAGTATAGGTTTTCTCGGCCGAATTCGTCATCTTCCTATTCAAATTTATTATTGTTTATTCATATTCCAACGATTTTGTAAACCTAGTTGCTCCCATGTTTCTCTTTCATAAGGTGTAGTAAGGTGTAGTAAGGTGTAGTAAGGTGTAGTAAGGTGTAGTAAGGTGTAGTAAGGTGTAGTAAGGTGTAGTAAGGTGTAGTAAGGTGTAGTAAGGTGTAGTAAGGTGTAGTAAGGTGTAGTAAGGTGTAGTAAGGTGTAGTAAGGTTCAGTAAGGTGTAGTACATCACAGAACCTTCAAATTCGTTTACAGGCGTCGAATGGTGCACTGTAACAAATTCAATGTACAACTAATTTCATTCAATTGATCGGTGTATAACGGCCATTCGATTTCGCGATGGGGGACCGGAATGTGAATTTCCCCCCAAACTGTATTTTCGTTTTCGTCTATGGGCAATCATCTTCGCATCTTGAGTCTTCCAATTGGAAAACTTCAAAGTAAGAGGAATATAAGGCAACTTAAGATGCGATTCGAACAGAAAGGGAGATTATAAATAGAAGGCACGCTAGAAGTGTGTCCCACGTATCAACCTGAATGTACATGTGTTATGTATCCCAAACAAATTAGACATCAAAAATAAAATATATTTCCTCCAGTACTGATTGCCCGTGTAATCAAAATTTAGAGATGAAACTCTCCCTGGATCTTCATCACGGATTCTTAAAGAAAGATCCTTTAGATCCTTTACTGATTTGTAATTTCTTTATTTCAAACACAAGACACACACTCAGTAAATGTGCCTGCATGCAAAGATTTTACGGATTACCGTAAACAATTCCTTGTTTCTTTTTTGTCACAGTTTTAAACTAAGTTTTTGCTTGAATGTTTTATTCTATTTTTCTCATCCTTTTTAAACATTTCGCCACACCGTCCATTTGTAAAGGGATCTCTACCCGTGAACCAAACGTTTTCTTTCTTGAAATATTGTGCATAAATTTGTCCCAAAGAATAAAAAAGGATTATAAGATTTGACGTTTAAAGAAAAGCACTGCACGAATCTCATAAATGCTTGCCGATTCATTAAACGGAACGCCAAAACACCGCGGGAGTGTCCTTGCAAATTAGAATGATTTTTGCGGGTTATTCCAAATTGAACGCTGACCCTTCACTTTTTGCATAACAACATTGTGCAATGTCATACTTAGAATGAAATTGAATGGTCAATTTTGCTCATTGAATGGTGATCTAGATCTTCGATGTATTTTCGTGCCAATTTGAATGAGACTGTCGCTAATTCGTGTGGGAAGATGATGAATTCGCCCGGGGAAAATCTTTAATTAGAAAGCAAGACGTACAATTTGCATTTCATGCAAAGAATGAGTAGACCTGAAAAGCGAAATGTATTGATATTTTCACATCTTTCACGAAGAGTCGATGCAGTTCTTCTTGTCCTTTGGGTTGGTTGGTTGTTCAATCTTCAGTTTCTTGTCTTGAAATTGACAGTTTCGAATATCATCCGATGAATTCCATCGAAATACACTGGCAACTGATATGACTGCGCGCAGACTAATTCAGTCTTTGACAATGCGCACGCGTGGTCATCATGGTGAAAGGGATGCGGATGAAATCTGACGAAATCGAGTAGACAAATGATCGAAAATTAGTTCAATCATTGATCATTTGCAATGACCATGGACTGCATAAATTGTAGCATTCGTGCGTTCCGGTCTTCTCAAGACAAAAAAGAAGGTATCTGCTCGTAGATTTGAACGGGAAAGTTTGAAAAAGTAGGCCTACGGAAATCTGTATGACAGTGTCTCCTCCATCGACAGCTTCGCTTACTAGCGGTACGGAGTAGTTTCTGGTGTCTTTAGTAGGGTCGATGGAGAACTGGTGCCTAGGGCCTACTGTGTACTTTATTTCGACCTGCATCATAAACCTACTGCCATAGTATCTCCTACTTGGCAAATCATATCCTTTTTTATTTGACAGGTACCCTTCTGTACTTCTTCACCGAGATCTTCGACGACTTCGCCCACGGCCCACGCTTCCACCCTTACTACTGGTGGTTCCTGGTCTTCGGTCTCAACTCTCCCTGGCTGGTGGTGCCCCCGATCCTGATATACCAGTCTTGGAAGGAGTTGACGAAGGCGCAGAAAGGACTGGACAATGCCACCGGATACAACACGAGCAACGGGAAAGAGAAGATTAGATAAGCCAGTTGAGGTTCCTCTACGAGTACAGAAGATAATGTGAGCAGCACGAAGCAGAGCTAGATGCCAAATTTGTGAAAGCTCCATTACATTACTGTAGGTAAAGAAAGGTATATCTGTGAGATATGAAATCAGCTTATCAGGATGGGCCGACAATGGACGCACTGGTGAAATACACAGTTCAAGTTTAAAACTTCACACCTTAGGCCTAATTGACTCTCGAAAGTAATGGGTGTACATCAGCATTAAGAAGTTAAATTTTAGCCTTAAGTTTACGTTGGATATTTCTGTTACAAAGCTGTTCACGACTCTTAAGTCCTTGCCTACCTCCCCTAACATTCCTTTTCAATTTCCAAAATTTCATCCAAATTAGCATTGGTAAGACTCATTCAATTTGAATTTGAATGCAATTTGAGAAAAGGAAAAGGTAGACTTCAAACTAGAGCTCGGAAATATTATTATGGTAATCACTATTCAGCTGTAAGTTTGTTCAAAATTGATATTATTAACGAAGGTTACTCATATTGCCTGGAACCATGGGCCCACGGGCACCAGCATTTGTTTCCAGGCAAATATTGCCGACAATTTGGCACGCTTGTGCATTTACAGGTAGTATGGGAATAAACCCTTTTCGACATCTGCAATGCCTTTATGGGTTTGGATAACAAATAGGCAGTGCATTTTTTGCACACCTACCTATGAGAGAGGTGTACCTGCAAAACGTGAATTTGTTTCCAATTCACAACATACCCCGTTTCAAGCCATTGTCTTCAAATACAGCGTCGCATTGTAGCCTGTTCACAAACTTCGAATTTTAAAAGCATACCCGAAAAAGAAAAATCCAACTTTTTGTACTGGACTGAAATCGCGAATATTAATGAGCTAGTAGTGGCCAATCTGAATCAAGACTTGTAACCGATTCATTCTGCATTGACCAATCACGTTCATCAAATCACCCTTAATTGTCCTTAAAAAGACCCTTACGGGTGAAATGGTTTCTTCTAATAAGATTTTGGAAATTTTGTTTTTTTAATTTGAAAATATTTCTTGTAAATGTGTATGCATCTGCATAGACTTGAAATCAAGTCGTTAGGCGGTCGTGTTTGTAGTCTAGAACAACCGATATGAGCCAGCATGCTGAGCCGGCTGTTCACCGTCGCGTTGCCCACGACTGATCCAGCATGCCGCGCTGACTCGGCCTGGATACGACGCGTAGTCGTGATGGGATGTTCAGTACCTGGTTTCGAGGCACGTCGGTGAATACCCGCTGTGCCCGCCTAACAACTTAATCGACCTGGTTTTGGAAGGATATTCATGAATGCAACAACTATACTGCATATTCATATCTTTCCATAGAGAGTGCCAATAGTAGCTCACGCTACGTAACAGACTCATCCATTTCGTATATAGGGATATATAAAAAAAAAAATCTTGAAAAAAAGTATATAGGAATGCCAATATTTTGGTTAGTGCCAGTTTCTTTATATCTTGCATAATATCCCTTTTACTATGACGCGTAAAGACAAATTATACATAACTATTCAGGAACAAATCTATTAACTTTTTTTGGGGGGGGGTTAAAAAACCCGATGCCTTTATGGTAAATCATCTTTTTAGAATATTATAAACACCCCCTTCAATGAACGAGACTGTGATGGTTTTCAATACACCAATCAAACTGCCCAAAAATAAATATTCATGTTATCGGGATTCTTAGCTAATCAGAGTGCTCTGTCCAATTTTGGCAGCAATCCCAATATGTTGTGCACAAAAGGGATTGCAGATTGTTCAAGTCGGTAATTGGGCACCGCCGGACACCGCCGGAAAAAAGAAAATTTTAATTGTTATCTGACCGGCTCAACCCCCCGCCACATGATCATGCATAAAATGCATTGCTTGTTTGTTATCCATTACGAAAATCGAAACGTTTTAACTGGGTAGCAGGTGTCCCATTAGGCCACCTGTGCGCATGTCTGTCCTGAGGACAGGCAAGAACAAATTTGAACAGGAAATTGTTGCTCGTTTACCAAACCCGTTTTTACGTAAAACTTTTAAACTGGAGAGCAAGTCCTCACATTGCCTTGGGAAATACCAGGTGCAGTGTGGATCAGATGGCATCTGGGGGCGTGGGTATTAAAACATTTTACTGGTAGTACAGGAAAGTTTCTTAACCTTCACTCGGAAGAGACTGATTGATATTGCCGGGTACCCCACCATGGGAAAACACTTGTAGACCTACCCGCAGAAAAAAAACCTACAGGAATCGTGTAAGAGAAGCCTATAGTACGTGAAAGACGCATTCAATCCGTCGAATTCACCTGATCTAAAATGCTCAACAATCTTCAAACAGTTAGAACTAAATTAGTGCGGTTAATTTGTCTTTACAGTAATTATTGACGATGAACGAAAGCATGTGAATTATTATAATTCCAGTTCAGCAGTCTGGCTCGTTCAATAGGACGATGGGAATTCGGCGCGTTCAAATACACTTATTTATTGAGCCTCATCCTGCAATTTTCACGTACAGTTTCCTTACTTGTTTATAATTTTCTTGCTGTAGTTTTAATACAAAACCTGAGAACTATACAGTGGTTGTTATGAGTATCTAGTCAAATGGTCCTCGCATAAGGGACGTACACCCCTCCCACTTTAAACCATAAGTTCTGGAGAAAAGCAAACGAATTTAATCAGTAGAACTAGAACTCAAAGAAGATATGTGTATGCAGAAATAACTTAGATATGGATAGATATTTTTATTTTTAACAATTATGAGAAAAAGTTGCTAGAGGAAATATGGATCAATCATGAATAACAAGATGACCAAGGTAAAACGAAATAGTGTTTCTTCCCATTAATTGTTATCAATAGTTTTGCATTAGGTATTAATTAATTAAATTAAAATCATACGCACGAAAACTACCATTTTAAGCAAGTTTGTTTTGTGGCTTACTCATGCAGGTTGGGGGCAAATGATTTTTCCCCGAAAAACGACAGTGCCATTTTTTTAAAGGATCTTCGAACCCCAAGAAATGTGGTAAAACCGTTTCTAAATGTTGGCGCTTTCGATTTATTAACTAACGGCAAAGTACTCTGTAAGGAAACTTATCCCCTCCCCGTCCCCTATGGGATGCACCAACCGGAACGGAAGGATCTGGGACTTGGCTACCAAAGAAAATCTGTTAAAAGGGCCATCCAATCCTCTAGTCCCTAGGGACTTTATTCACGAGGAAACCATTTTATGCCCCGATCGTTGGCACAACTGTAACCTGCTCTTGCGTGCAGGTCCTACTCCGCCACAGGCATCAGCACCAATTTCATAGCCTTAGAAATAGAGGGACACCAACATTTCATGTTCCCGCCTCAAGCAAAAGCTACCCCTCATCAGCTGGGCTGGGGGCGTTCAGTTTTGTTTGTAGGGATGCGACCGTAACGAGTGCTTTTCCTAGTCATTCGTGGGCCATCGAAGTTCAGTTTCGACCACAGGAGCCTCCGTTGACAAGAAAACTGCGCCCCTCTTAGTTCAGTTAGAGGCTCATAAGGTGTATGTCAACCAACCCACCAACCCTGCCACCAACCCTGCACAAGTGCGTGTGTTTTTCGAATATAATCCTCACAACCATTTCGTCTATTATAATTAAACACCAGAATCCACTGTTGTTTTACAAAGGCATTCTTAAACCCATGCAAATTTACCTTAAAGTATAGCTGCAATAAATACTTCTAGGACCGAATTTTTCTGCAACTTTGCCCCCTGTTTTTAATGTATGGATACTCGTATACATTCCTTTTTGGTAAAATGCAATGAAAAGAGTACTTTTTCAAAACACTTAATGCCACGTGTGCTTTCCAGGACAACGAGGGCGCTGTTGCTGTTATGTTATCCAGGGAAAACAAAGTTCAGTGCATAGTTTCTCTGTTCTAATTGTAAACCCGGAATTTACTTACTGAAAATATATGTCGGCAAGGGATTGATGCTTACTTATTGCTACACAGATAAACAACAATGCATCAGCGAAGAAGAGACAACTTAGTCCAGTAAAACCTACAAACATGCAGGACTTTTTATGTACAAATCAATGTAACACTGAGGCTTTCTTCCTGGGATGACGTCGCAGTTTTGCTCACGAATATGGAAATGATCATCAGTACAAAACCCAAAAGCCAGGAAATGCCCTTTGAAATAGTGAAACAAACGCTAGTAATAAGGTTAACTGAGACACAAAGGCTCATTTTAAAGGTTTTAATAAAACATGTTAATTGAAACTACCCTCTAATTGCAACGTTTGAGCCAAACCTAGCAAGATAATATTTTGCATAGGCAAAATACATACCCACGTACCGTTGTCATGTCAGCATCATGACGTTTCACATGATGAGAGATATCTTGCATAAGGAAAATACATACCCACATACCGTTATCATGTCAGCATCATGACGTTTCACATAATGAGAGATATCTTGCATAAGGAAACTACATACACACGTACCATTGTCATGTCAGCATCATGACGTTTCACATAACGAGAGAGGCATTAGTCTAGAATGAAGAGCTCTTCTTGCTACCAACATGAATGCAAAACACATGTATAGACCTATAACTATTTTATTTAAAGTTTTTAGGGTTCAAATCGTGGTATCCAGCGTCGTTTACGATTCCAATGTCATAACGGCGCACCTGAAAGGGGGTGCTTATTGGCTTTTTGAAGTTTTATCTGATCTTCTCTTTTCCATTGCCCGTGTTGAATCCGGTGACGTTGTCCAGTCCTTTCTGCGCCTTCGTCAACTCCTTCCACGACTGGTAGATCAGGATCGGGGGCACCACCAGCCAGGGAGAGTTAAGACCGAAGACATAAAACCACCAGTAGTAAGGGTGGAAGCGTGGGCCGTGGGCGAAGTCGTCGAAGATCTCGGTGAAGAAGTACAGAAGGGTACCTGTGTCGTTGGGGGAAACGAGATCATTCTTCAAAAGTACTGTTTTTCAAGAATGGAAAAATACCTCAAGTTTACACAAGCAAGCTGGCAAAACTCTGACGTGGTTTGCGGAAGATGGCAAAGCCACGTGTACAGCTATTACAATGACAATCGTAGACGGCGACCATGAAGGAATAAAAAGTGACCAAGTGTTTCATTACTTATCAAAAGATGTTTTGAGGACGACAAAGGTATTTTTTGTGTATATAAAAAATCTCGCGCCATTCGATGCTTCAGTAGACAGAAACGGATTCGGCAGAATCTGCTTCCTACACACCAGTGTGAGTGAATATACGGATTATCTGTGAGATGCAAGACGTAAACGACTTTCCATCATCACAATTTTATCCGTTTGGCACGAGCCTATTGACTTACCGCATTATATTTGCGCAAAGTATATCCGACTAAAGTATGTGACCTTGATACAGAATCGCAAGCGGCTTTTCTATCTTGTCTCCGACAGTTTTCCGAACTGTTATGACTTATGCCGGTAATATACACCGGACAATGAAAAATGTGGATCTAGCAAATAACAACCACAAGTAGCTAACTCTCTGCTCAATAAATATAACGATTGACCACGACTGCAGCAAGTAAATATGCTTCCATTTGACTCTTTGAATAAGAATTAACAGGGTTTCCATCCGCAAAATGGTATTAACCTTTCAAATATTTTAAAAAAAAGATGTTTGTTTCCTGGATTATCTTGTGAAGAAATCAAAGCTAGACCGTGTTACAAATGTTTGTGTAAATATGCGATGGAAAATTACAGATAGTTTGTGTTAAATCTCCTCACACTGAGTAGTTACTTGTTTGATTATTATTTGTTTAAAATTGGATGAATTCCTTTACTCAAAAGTGTAGACAGATAAATCGGCTTACGGCGGACGAGATATCAACACGCTAAGCAACAGCAAAAAGTTGTGGAAGTTTTCATGTCAGTTTAACAAAGCTATACTTGTTTTCTTACCATAGAATTGGCCGATAGACACACCGAACTGGAGCACGTGACGCAACGGGTGTCTGTTCAGAAAGCCCCACACGATCAGGAAACATCCTGGTCCCTCCAGCCAAGCCGTAAGGCTTTCCATGATAATGATACAGGCATCAGCCCTAAAAGAAAGAAATAAATCATTGATTAATTTCAAGCCGTTTGGCTGTAAGGCTAAATTGTAATGAATGCAGAGTAATGCGTGCAGAAAATAAAGCAAACTTTTTACATCGGCGAATAATATCTATCAAGACACCGAGTCAAACGGCAAGAAAGTATTGTTAACGGAATATTAAACGGATGTATCAATGGTCGTTTAATCAGTGTATGGATACTTTCTGGGTTTCTGCATAATGACAAGAGCAAATGTACTCACTGCATATATCGACTGTCGCCTTTAGCATATTCCTTCCCTGTGTAAAATCAAAACAAATGGGATTTTACTGAAACTTGATCGCAAACATCTGGATGATCAGCAAAAACAATTCTAGAAATGGAATTCTGGTACCAAGAAGAAAGATGGAAAACTGTGACCGAAGCCGGCACGAGTCGTCTTCAAGTTCCAAGAACCACTTTCGGAAATTATTTCAAAAGAACCTTACACAATGCCATGGAAATTAATAGGAACCGTCGATTTTTTCATTCACATAAAACTGTCCATTTATGTCGCGTGAGACATTCAAAGCTTGCTCGATCTCGTGCAAATCAAAACAGGGTAACTTAAAAAATGGCTACAAGACATTTGTAAGAATGCCTCGTGTCAGAGAAAAGTTAGAAAGTCAAAAAAGGTCCTTGAGGGTAAATAATCAGTGTCTTTGACATTTTTGCAAACGTTGTCGATATCTTTAGTCTATTAGGGAGTAACACTTGTCATTGTGAAATTCCGATAGATGAAAAAGCACTTTAATAATACAATTACTAACAGAGCTGGGCCAAGAAATTGTTGCTCCCGGGGAAAGTTCCGCTGTTGAGACTGACGTAGCCCTCTACGACCATGTGAATGCAGCCGCACAACACCCACCAGCACAACGCAGCCCTCTCCCACTGGCCCAAGAGTCGGCCGAACTTGTCCTGCTTCGTGTACTGCCATGCTAGCCAGAAGATGACTGCAAAGCTGCCCAGAGTCAGGCCGGTCACTGCAACATCCGGGAGGCTGTTCTCCTTGTAGTGGGGCAGCTCCAGCCCCAGGGGATAGTAAGGGTGAGACACATTAGACGCCATGGAGATGTGCTGTGAGAAGCTTGCTACACACGGGGGACTTGATAAGTAAGCCTTGGACTCTGACAGAATCTCAGGCTTCTCTCCGATAGAAATTTGAGCTTTCGATAGGCTGATATTTCAAGAGCTCTCTTATCAGCCGCGATTGCGCAAAAGCGATCGTGCGATTCAGGGAATCCAAACTGTGTATGCGGGTGCCGCCATGGCTGACATCACACCATGTATGATTTCCCCACACAGGTCAAATTTTGGAAGATTGTGCGGGCGTGGTGTTAAGTCACCAAAGGCCTCTCAGCTGTAGGTGTATTTTTGCTGCAGACACGACGGCATTTTGTGCAAACCGTAAACCAAAATTTTAAATTCAACGTTGTTCTTGCATGTCATGCATTCCTTCGACGTAAGAACAGTGGCGTTACTGTGGATGGTAGTGGGGCACGGAGGCACGCTCCTCCCCCAACAGAAGCCTGTGTCAACAGATCCCTTTTCTCTGCATTGGAAACTTACAAAGCTAAATACAATGTGTTTAGAAAAAAGAAACCGATTAATTTGTTTATATCTCGGACATGAATAAATATTTTGGAAATTGTTAACCACCATTTATGCTCTCTTTCTTATGACAACAAGAAATCCAATTTGCTGTCCCAGATGACTGAGCACGAAGCAGTTCCATCAACCATATCAGAACTGGTCTTGAATCAGATAGATGTTTTGGTTAAGAACCTTGTCTGCCAGTGCTGGGCTTTTTGTAGGGCCTCCAAATTATGCAGTCCTTAGAGTGTTATTTCATTGCACGCTCCTTAAAAGTTGGAAAGGTTGTTCATTTTCTCAAACCAGCAAAAATGCAGCTTACAACCGAGCAGCGTGTGTTTGTGGTAACAGATATAGTGGTCGAGGACTGGCAACACCCAGCAAGCAGCTGATGCATTTGGTTAGCGTTTTCCTGACCGCGCCATTCCTGCCAAGTCGACAATTTGGAAAAACATACGAAAGTACCAAGTGGAGGGGGACAGGCTTGAATGAATAAATTGAAGAAATTAATCTCGGTTTCCTTTTTTGAACACACAGTACAAGCCAAAGTTAATTTGTTTCTTTGAACAAATATCAGCACCCTGAGTCACCTGTCAGAAATTTTACCTGACACCACAGTGTAAATGTTTTCTGTCTTATTTTTTAAAACGAGTTTTTGTTTTGTTTGCTTATTAGCTTTCAAATAAGTAGGGTTCAGTAGAGGAGGGGTGGAGATAAGATTGCCCTTTGCGAGCAACAGGAACTCTAATTATTGTAAATAAGGTTGGGATAAGACATAAAGGAAAATTACTCTTTCCCTATTCATTCAGCAAAGTTTTGCATCCTATCCCAATAGCTCGGCAAAACTTACCTGACGTACTCTCTGTGAATAAAGTTAAAAAGTACATAACCACGCTCATGAATATTTGACACGGATATTTCCCCGAGCATATCTTACCGGAGGTGAAATGGTCTTAAGCACAGAACGAAAATTTACACATTCCGAGTCAGTAGTGTTCAGGTATGATTGGCATGCTCTGCGCGATCAGTTTATCCGAGTACCCGCATCAGTTTTTTTTTTCTTCCTTCCATTTGCTCTGGTGATTTTAATGTCTTCCTGTGCTACCCCCAGAATATCTCCTTAAGTGCTGGTAGGACCTATCCGCGAACAAAATCACGCACGATCGACGTGCTCTGTTCATCCACTAATTTTTTTATTTGAGCATTTTCAGCGTCACTCGCGTTTTTTATGCCTCTAGGCAGCTATGACCTCATACTGTTTTGGCAGCATTTTTATCCAATCAAATGAGACTAACCAAAGAGCGCTCAGCCTACGGACAACGAGCACTCAACACGAAGGATGGAAAACTCAGTCTGTTGGTTGACTTTAAGAAAAAAACAATTGGTTCTTTTTGGGGGCACCTTTCGGGAGACTTTATTAATAAAATAAAGTTTGTATTCGTTATCACTCAAAAATGGAGAACAATAAAAGCATCCATAAATGTGCTGTTTTGGTTTTCGATTCTGCATGAATGAAATGCATGTTGTAAAGGCATCATGGACATCGCCCTTATGTAGTGTCATAAAGTGTCAGCGCACACCCCGCCGCTATTCAACTTTCCATGGCCAGGCAAGTCATCCCCCATAATTCCCCGTCCCCAACGGTGGGTCTCCCTCAGTCAAGCTCTCCAACAATCGTCGCCCTTGGCACTTCGCAAGATAATGATGGAGGACAAATGATTCTGGGAAACCAGAGAGTATATCAACTATCACTCGGGAGCGGATTCCCGCGTCATTCCTTCGCGACATCTCGTCCAGTTTCTTCATGAATTCAGCCGTTTAACAATGGCATATCCAGGGGATAGTTGTTCTCAACCTCTTTTCACGAATAAGTGAATTTAAATACAAAGAAGGGAATTGACCAAGGTATCTTTGACTTCAGCCTCACTACACTTTTTTTATCTAATCATAACACTTCAAACCTGTAACAATTAGCTTCATAGAAAGGTTTTCGGTAAAGCTAACGCGTCTCAGCTGAGTTTTTTTCCACCGCTTCCACGGTGTATCCATAGGGTCGGGGCTGGGAGGGGTCCCCAGACGATTGCCCCACTTCCCGCCTTGAGCAGAGGCACCCCCTCATAGGTTGAAATTAATTAAAAAGAGCCATATTGATCGAGTGGGTTCATTAACGCCTGTGTTTCATACTCGTCCAATTACAGAAGTTCAGTTCCAACAAAAGGAGGAGCCTCCAATCCGAAAATTGCGCCCTCTCTTGGTCTGCTCAAGGCCCATAGACCCACTGCATGCGCGAGAACGATGATTTCAACACATTCTGCCAAAAAGTGTGTAATGACTCACCATGTCAAAAACGTTTAACAAAATAACTTCGTTTCTGTGGCTCATAATCGTGTAGTCGGTCTCCTTGCGCTTGCCACTGTCAGATGACGTAACCGTTTCTGGTTCTTCGTTTTTGTGGGGCTTTTACGTCACAACCATGTTTCTGGTCAGGGGTCGCCGCGATAACACTCCCCAAGTTACTAAGTTAGGTTCATACGTGAATGTAACGGCAAACCTAACTTGTTGGCACCGTACCTCACCACATACGAAAATAATTTGAAACTTAATCGTATAAGCTCTAGAGGGCGCTGTTAAGCGTGATGACACGTGAGCGCCAGTTTTTGTTACTGCAATTGTTTGAGGGATTTTTCTCTGTTCAAATAAATCATTTCTTTTCCTGTCTAATGGGGCCATCATTACCTGACTGGCACAAATGATACAGTCATATAACGAGTGAACTGTACTCCACCAACTTTTGGTACCGTCCATTGTTCACTTGCTTTTTTTTAGACCGAAAGTTCTTATTAATTAAAGGGTAGCTGAAACGCAGTTATTAAAAATACGCACCTCCAAAATGCACCTTTACATCTCAGCTAACCTCATTTCCTTTTTTTTTGTTTTCGCTCTCATGAAGGGTATTTGCTGTCTTTTTATTGCTATGTAAATGGTATTTCCATCTGTATTATCATATCAGGAAGAGAGTCTCAGTGTTGCATTGATTTGTGCACATTAATGCTGCAGATTTTCTTTTAGATTTTGTTGGCATCGTTTTTTTCTCGGTTGATTCTTTTTTTAAAAGTACACAGCAATAGGCAAGCATGTAACGGTTTGTAAACCTTCCTTAGAACTTGAAATGTTTTCGTCGTTCAGTTAATTTTGGATTCACAATCTGACCAGATAAACCTACGCACTGAAACGTGTCTTCCGGTCTGTAGATGGTATCACAGCAACAGCGCCCTTAGTTGTCCAAGAAATCATGGGCAAGTTTTAAAAACTGCCCTTTCCAATGCATCAAATCGAAAAGAGGTGTTATTATCAAACAATTTTCATTTATTGGAGAAGAGTTTAAACTGGCAGAGAGATTAGGGCTGAGAAAACTCCATTGCTGCTCCTTTTTTTAAAGCTGGAACTGGGGCACTGTCCCTGATGGTCATCTGTCCTTATCAGCTGACAGCAATAACACCTGTCCCCGTAGGCTATAGTCATGTGCTTTTGGACGGTCAGTCAAAGCCAAAGAAAGCTCAACCAGGTGTCTGTGTACTACCTACTCTACAACACTTATTAGTTATTTCATTTCTCATTAAACGGATCTCGTCTCTTTCATCAAAGCCCTCGTATATCTATATCTAGCACTACTTTATCGATCAGATTTTTTTCAAACGTAACAATTTACAAAGTCTCCTCTAAACGTTGTAGGCGTTCTTTGTCTTCTGCGATCTACAAAGTTACGTGGTCGTAAGCCGGGTGCAAGCTAGTAAGTAGGCCGAAAATTTCTTGCGCCGGCCAATCACAATTTGTATGCACTATGTTCCACGAACTTGAGGATTTATAGAAAAGACGTGCAGGTTGTGTCTGGGTGAGATTTCGAAGAAATTGGTGCCCGAAAACGGTCTATTTTTTGAGAACTGTGTCGGAATCGATTTGTCCGGAATGGCCAGGGGGCTTCAGCAGTGCCTCTTTCTGTGAAAAAAAATATCTTCAAAAGTCATTTGTTAATAAATGGAAATTTAAAAAGAAAATGAAAAATGATAAAATGAGCTTTAATTTGATGTGTGCCTCAAGCGCCTGATAAAACTCGTAATTATTCTTCCTGATGTTTCGAAGTTCAGGTATTTTCACTTAGTCTATTGGCTGCGGTAGTTTATTTCCTGGCCTGCATCCATCAAGCTAGCAAGGCACGAATTTGGAAAGTGCGCCCTCAGTAGTTCAGATACACGAATTAGCCTCCAAAACTCCATTAACGTTATGTAAGTACAAATCATAAAATGATAAAGGTATGTAGGCCCCAAGTTGTAGACAAACAGAAATGTAACTTTTTTGCCTTTGATCTTTGTGTCTAATCATGGGGGAAGGAAGACATGGTCCAGTATGCCTGACAACCTTGCCATTTATTACCTTGTAGATTCTGTAGCGATTGGCCACGCTATCATAGAGGAAGGGTAATCGATCATCACACAGCTGACATTTAATTGAGAGTACATGCTACTGATTTTCTGTAGTGTGGCATGTGGATGGGCCAAATGCTCAAGAATTTCACCCTGTTGATGAGGATGTAAGGTGAATAATCCTCCCCATCTGACATCCAACTTCACCGACCTGACCAAGAAGGCATGTATGAAATTTGGTGACACAAAACAGCCAGAATGTGTTTATGGGAGTTAGTACATGGCTATCTGTAAGGTTTGTATAAACCTTACAGGTCAGGAAGTAGAAGTGGCATACTATTGTTGAATAGCACGATCACGAAGGGTAAAGTTGCCCCTTTGCTTTGTGTAGGCCCAGGCCTAAGTCCAAAGTCATGCCGACCACAAGGATCCCATAGTTAACATGGTTAACGTGGTTAGCCAATGGACCTTTGCCCATATGCATAAGGCATGCGCATGCGCATTACTACCACTGCACTGGTTGGCAAAGTTGCTTAAATGTATGACGTTACTATACAATCTCTATGCGCGCGCAACCATGACAGCGTGTACCTGTACATGTAGGCCTATGTGCTCATATGAGTAGATAGGCCTAGTATAGTTTGACATGGGTGCCAAACTTTAAGATAAGAAATTGTTACTTTCCAACTTCAGGACACTGAAAACTTCACTTACACAATACATGTAGTTTCAAGAAAAATGTACATTTTTCAAAAAAGGCTGTAAAATGGTTTTGATTGACCTTCAACGCGCCACATTACGGTTAGAACAGCTTTCCTACCCTGCCACACTTGCCAACCAAAGTAGCACGCATACGCCTGTCTAGTTTGCATATCTCATGGGAAAGGTCCATTTCCCATTCCGTCGCCATTTTGATTATAGTGCCCTCGTGTGATGAAGTGAAGAAAGCTACAGGGGAACAAATTTAGTTTTTCCTTTTCGTAAACTCTACAAATTGAAACTGCAAGAAGCATTTGCCAAAAGTTATGCATTATTGTTGTTGTGTTTTGTTCCCCTCTGTCCCTTTCTGAGCATGCACACGTGAAATGTGAAAAAGGCTTACGTGTAAGTACACGTAGGCCGACATGTTCTCATTTTATGCAAACACCCCCCGCTAGACTTGAAAACAATGACTCCCCCTCGTCAAGTTTGAATATACATGTACCTGTGTCATGTCTGTTCATTTTAGGGCTGTACTTAACATGCCAAATGTTCCAAATAATATTACATCAATATTAATATCAATAGATATTTAGATCAAGTACCAAATAACTGAATATTTGGAGGTGAAAATCATTGAAAATAGAAAGGGGAACAAATTCAATTTGGTCACAAAATTACACTTTCAAAGCATATTGCAAGGTGTTGAGTGCGGTTCAAGGTAACTGATGTATGCGCCCAACAAATCTGCCAGAAACCGTTGCAGCTGAATATTTGAACATTCAATTATATGTAAATAGAATACATACAATTATTCAACTTGACTCAGCCCTAGTTCATTTGCATTTCCCCTCAAACCTATATGTGTGCGCAGCACTGAAGATGCCGATCAGAGTTGCTGTAATTGGTGGAGGTGCGGCGGGCCTGTGCGCTGCACGGTACCTCACCAAGAAGCCTGACATGTTTCAGGTGGTGGTCTACGAGCAGTCAGATCAGATCGGAGGCACCTGGGTCTACACGGAGGATGTCGGCACGGACAAGTATGGCCAGCCGGTTCACTCAAGCATGTACTACCGGCTGAGGTAGGCTGTTCAGCATGTTCAGTTGGAGCAGGTGGCAAAATTATTTTGTAGGGCAGAAAAAAAATATAGTTGTGTTTCCGGTTACCCAACCCATGGCAACTTAGAAAAATCTAAGGATCCTACAGTACAGTTGTACATGTAGGTACAGGTAATGTACATGTATGAGAAAGATTTCATATACTTTTAGCCTAGGACTTGTTATCACTTTCTGACGGCTGTTTTAACATTTTAAGGGAATATGGATGCTGTCCGTATATGGAACTCTTTGCGGCACATGTATATTTTGGCCCCAACCCACCACTCAGATGTTGTGCACATACATGTACATATATCACTTGTAGGTTTTTTAGCCTGCCGTTTGAAAAAACTGGTTTACCGTTGTTTGCAGTTTCTTCTACTTTCTAAATTCTTAACCAGTCTGTGCCCCCCATTGAAATTTTGAAATGTGTGGCACCTACATGTATGCACTTTCAAAGTTTGCTTTCAGTGCTTTCTGGGAAAAAATGTGGTTCCCTCACTAGCCCTTTGTTACCCCCCTAAGAATTTCCCTGTAGCCCCAGTTACCAGATATTGGGGGTGTCCAAAAAATATGCATGTTGTCAGCAGCAAATGAAATCTTGCAGGGGGCCAATGAGCTCCTTATCTGACCAATTTTCAGTATATTCTATGATACTCAAGTGGCCGCTGAGCACCCAGTTGGACAATACTTCTGCATATAGTGGGGGGGAGGTGTCCAAGGCCAAAGGGCCAAGGGATGTCCGAGCTGGACAAAGAGAGGGCGCAGTGTTCATAGCAAGAGAGGCTCCTTTGGCCGGAACTTCACTTCACTGGTTCATGAACGACTGTGAAACGGACACGTTATGGTCGCGCCACTGCCAACAAACCGAACACTCCCAAGCAACTTGACTCTTTTTCAACTGATAGGAGGGGGATGCTTCTGCTTAATTATGTTGAAACATTGTTGAAAGGGGCCATTCATCTTATTTGTAGAACAAACCTTCCCAAGGAGGTCATGATGTTCCCTGATCTTCCTCTCAAGGAGGGCGGGAGAACTTCCTTTATCAAGCACAACGATGTCCTCCGTTACCTGAAGCGATATGCTGCAACGTATGACTTGCATAAATATATTCAGGTAAGGCTAGGATTCCTTTTTTGCAGTAGAATGAAAATGATACAACAAGATTGTGTTTGTAAAGAAAATGTTTTATAAGTGGTTTTTTTTTTCAAGAATATTTTCAGTGCTGCTCATTAAAGAACCCGACCTTCTTGTCCATTTTCTTATGATGTGATATTTTTAATGAGGTGGCCTTTTCCAACTGGCAGAATTTTCAAAGATGGCTGCATTTTCCAGACTCATTTGCATTGTAAATACTGTTGATGATCATTGGAGAAAGGATTTTTCACTCTGCCTAATACGTTTAAACTTGCAGTACAAACGGATTACAAATGGCACCAAAACCTAAAAAGGAAACAAGAGAGAGAATGAGGCAAGACAGGACGAGAAGCCAATTCCTTTTTTCAGGCCTTTTTGAATCTTTCTGTAACCCCTCCCCCCTTCTGCGACAACCACCAGTACTGCGCACCTCCTCAAAACCAGTGAGTGCAGGTACACGTACACAGTTGTGAGACTATAATGTGCATTCAGTGAAAGTTATCGTGGGGACAAAGTTGTGTCCAGAGCACTTGCTCACTCTTCTTGAGTGTAAACCAGCATTCCCCTTCTCTTGAACTCAAACATGCAGCTGCAGACTAGGGTCGAGTTGGTGAAGCCAATCACGAGCAACGACAGAACTACATGGGAAGTGACTGTGAAGAATGCAGAGGACCCTGACGCCGTGCCGCAGGTCCATGTGTTTGATGCAGTAATGGTCTGCAATGGGTAAGTGCTCGGAGTTGTCGCTAATCTCTAGCCCCCATTTCTCTCTGTTTGCATAAAAGGTCCACATTTTCAGTTGAGACAGAGAGCCCTGGAAGCTGGTGACTTCACACAATGTACTGTACATAACTAAGAAAAAAAATATTGACTGTCTGCTGGAGAAAAGCAAATAGAAATGAGAAAACCAAAAAAAGAATGAATTATGTATGTCACATCTCACTGCCACTGAGCAACTAGGCATAGCTGTGTTTAAATCACAAACTGGATGTACATGTATGTAATTTCAGTTTTGGTGGATCATCTTTACAGTAAGTATGCAGTGCCCAGTTACCCAGATATACCTGGCTTGGAGACGTTCACGGGGAAAGTCATCCACAGTCATGAATACCGCCACCCAGAGGATTTCCAGGGCCAGACAGTGGTCCTCTTGGGTGCCGGAGCCTCTGGCTGCGACATCTGTGTGGACCTCCACCCGTTTGTGGATAAAATCTACCTCAGCCACCACAAACAGGAGATTACCAGCATGCTTCCCAGTAATTTGCAGCAGGTGCCGGATATCGCGTCGATCGACAATGGCAGCATCGTGTTCACCGACGGGCAGCGTGCAGAGGCCGATGCGCTGATCTTGTGCACAGGCTACCTGTACAACTTCCCGTTCCTGGCAGCGGAGTGCGGGGTGGTCGTGGACCGGATGCGCATCTCGCCTCTCTACAAGCACGTCCTGCACACTGGGTTCCCGTCCTTGTCCTTCATGGGTATGGTGTGGAGCATCAACCCCTTCCAGCTGTTCAGCTGCCAGGTACGCTTTGCCATGGCCGCGCTGGATGGCACAATGACCCTACCCAGCACCATCGACATGGACACCGACACGCAGCAGGACTACGAGTATCGGCGCCACGAGTTGAAGTACCCCCACCATTACGCCCACAAGTTGGACTCGATGCAGTGGGACTACAAAAAGGAACTTTTGCAACTGGCAAAGGTAGAGGAGGACGACGAGGCCATCAACCCCATCTTTGAGGAGATGTACAATGAAACGCATCACCTCCGAACTAAGGACCTGGTTAACTATAAGACTCGAAGCTTTGAGATGTCTGATGACTTGAAAAGTTGGGAACTTTTATAACATTCCGTAGTTGGGAATTTGAGCACTTTCAGGGGAATTTGTGTTTGAAACCACCAACTACCTTTTTCATTTAAATAACCGAAAAGTCATTTTATTACATTTTCATGAAGTTTAATGACCCACAGTCTTCATTACGAAATCAAAGTGGAAGGCACCGGTAAAAAAGATTCTAATAAGTGACTTTTAAGCACTTTTATGCATGTATTGACTGATCCAACAACTAAAATGGGAGGCCATAACCAGGCCATAAATCTGTATTGCTGACTGAAGGGGATGGAGATGAGGGGGGGAACCATGTGACATTATAATTTCCTATCTCCCAGACAGCATTCCCCCAGTAACAGTTTGGTATTGCAAGATCTGTCCAGTTTCTCCAATGCTGTGAAATTCCCTGGTGTCATTGTTTATGTATCATACAGAGGTGACCCAAAATTGAATTCTGAGATATTTTTAATGAACCCTATTATATAAAATTGAATTTTAAAGTAAAATGTCCATGTACATTTACCTGTAATTCTTGTTTTAGAGTTGTAAAGTAAAGAATCCCTTTTTAAAACTTTAGCCCAGCGAATGGACCTAAAGTAAAAAACAAAGGGAAATAAATGACCAAACTGTCCCTGTTGGTAGGTTTTCTAATCCACAGATTTTGCTCAGGGAGTACATGACAGTTGTTTAAGTCTGTGGTGTTTCCTTTGAGAAACAAAGAGAGATCTTTGAGCTCATCAACATTTTGCATGAATGCAGTGCAAGACCTTTGTTTTTATACAGTAGACACAACTAATCTGATCATTTGATTTAAGACGCCGGACAGTAATGGTAAATTTTTTATTGTGTAAAAATGCAAAAAAAAGTGTATTAATAAAATAAAGTGGCACTTTTATGTAGCTTTGTCTTATGTATTTGCAATGAATCATACACCCACCGGTCTAAACAAGTTGGTTGTAGCAAGTACTCATTTGACCATACATCCCCAAAACCATCAAAGACAGGTACAGTCCACAACAGCCATATGTATGTATGCATAGCACCTTGAAGCATTTAATATCCATCCAATAGAGGGATCCCAATACGACGCTTTTAGCGTTGATCTGCGCACTTCCGCGTTTGAAAACGAGGCTGTATGTGTCAGCTTCAATTCTTAATACGATCAGACGATTGAAAGTAAGGAGTCAAGACACAAAATACCTGAAGGTATGTTAAATTCAGACTTTTCAGGCTGCAAATTGTTGTGGAAGAGTCTTTCAGGATGACTCGACACGTAAAATCAAAAGAAAAAATAACGACAATTTACCCTGAACTAACGTACCTGCGATGGTCATGTATCTTGTGCAGTGGGCGTGGTTTAAACTGAAGTGGTGTCACACTTACGAACGGGATACTGTATGTACTGTGTCAAATCCGCGGGTGCGCGCGATGAAGTTCAACACAGAGAGCCTCGGTTTCAACGCGAATATGCGCAGACGGCGCTAATGTGAAATCCCTCTATATACATTGTACATGTACGATCTACACTATTACACACAATTTGAGTGTAAAAATTCCAAGTTAAAACATTGAAATACCTGTTTACGTAAAACACGGATCATTATGCAAGCATTCTATTGCACAGTGTCTTTGAAGCCAATCTTCCAATTCCCATTCCAGCTCCCTGTGCAAATTATTGCCTCCCTCCTGCCAGAATTCAACCTATTAATCTTTAAAACTGCCATTAGAGGACGGCCATGAATATCATATCTTACAGGTCACAGAAGTATCACGCATTTAGCACAAAAGAGGGCAGAACTAGTTTAAAGTCAGCTATTACTATAATAGCCAAATGGGCCAACACAGATGCACCGGTGGCGTTGTGCTTTGTTTACATGTGCATGTAGGGTATGCTTGCTTAGAATAACAGGTTTCATACAGAGCTTTAAACTAAGATCAATACATTCCTCATTCTTATAATCCCTCGTCACTGGTCCAATGAAATATTCTGAAAACCCTCTCAGTTCCCTGAGGAGTATACGTTTGACGCTGCTGTTTTTGTGCGAGGAAGCTGAAGTCAATCACACTAATCATCTTTGCCCTCACTGGTACCGATTTATACTCCTGGGTGGAGCGAGGCAAGTGGGAGTCATCCGACTTGCCCACGGTCACAGCAGGTGACCAGCAGCTGGATTCTAACCCCAGACCCGGTAGGTTGACAAACCCTAAGTACTCAGCCAACATGCTTCAAGCAGTTTCCTCTTAGGCTTTGAATCTATCATCCCCACCTGGTACCCATAAAACCACCTGACGTTGCCGGTACATGGGCCTGCTATCTTGTTGCAACCTCTCGGGATAGAACACCTGTTTACCACCATCCCCAGCCTCTCTCTTTACGGAAATAATTACGGCCTGATCTGTGAAGAGGAGACAGGGGTCAGTAGGGCCACTTCGGAGTTCGTGGCCTCTTGAAGAACTTTGCACAATGTAAAGCAGCGGGAATCCTCGACATGTTTCACCTACATCCTGTCCATTTGCACCACGGTATAACTTGTGGGTCAGGAAAAGTGGACATGACGTGACTTTGTGGCATCTTGGGATTACAAATTGACGGAAAGGGAACGTACAAAATGATCTTGATGCTTTATCTATGCGATTTGGTTCGGCTTTTACGGTGACGCTGCATTATTACACGTAGACCATAAATTACATGCACATAATCTTGACTTCTTGGTGGGAACTGTTTCACAACGGAGCAAATGCGATGAGGCTGCAAACGTGTTATCACAGCTACATGTATAAAAGTCAATCAACTCCCACTCTTCTATATTATACACAGAGGGTTTTGACTCACATTCTACCATGCCATTCATATTGGCGTTCCATTGGGGGGCAATGGGGATTGTGAGTCTACTAAAACAGTGAAAAGACAATGCCCTCACTGCGGACCCCAAAACTCTTGTGCGAAAAAGTCCACTGTAACTTTGGAGTCTATTATTCGTTCATGAACATTACTTGCAGACTGACTCCATTTCTTCTAGTAGTCGCTTGATCGATTTACTGTTGAATTCCAATTAAGGAATAACGCTATGGAGGGCATCGGAATCAGCTGTAACAATATTCTACAGGTGTACCCACACTGGAATGAGATTGCAAGTGACACCCTACTGAGGCACTGAGGGGAGTATGGAGTTGCCAACCCCCCCTCCTCTACCCCTTCCCTCTGTGGTTACTGTAAGCAGAATCTTCATTCTCGTCAGCAACTTTATGTAACTTATACTGTCGGCAAAGAGGCCACCTACAGTCAAACATCTATGATTACTACCAAACATGAACAGTGCCCTCCGGTGGTATTCACCTCGATCCCTCCCCCCAACAGCAGTGCAACGTACACAGGACCCAAAACCACACAATAAACACTATGGAGGTGCAAATTTCCTAAGAACCATTTCTCTTCTTTATGTTTGGGCATATACTGCTTGAATACTTTTCAGCACAACAAAAAACCACTGTGTTGACTTCCCTGAACTAATTACGGCTCGGAATGCAAATTCCATGTGTGTGATTTTTTAGTGGCATTCAAAGCACACATCCACTGCGACAGGAGTACTTCTCTAAAAAAGGATACATTTGATTGGCAAGTCGGTGCACAGGTTCCATGGTTTTGTTGAGTTCTTCGCACCTTGCTATAAGGGCATACATACACTGTAAAAAAAAATAATAATAAAATAAAATTAATGTTCAGTCGGCATCTTGTAAGGAAAAAAAAACCAGGATGAGGCTGTGAGGTTCTCATCACTAAGACAGATGGGAACATTTCACAAGATGTACCTACTTCTTGATGACTCCACCCCTAGCGACTGCCCACCACTCCCCTGTGTCTTAGCGAGAAACCCTACTCAACGCAATGTACAACTATTGTCAAGGTGAGATGCCTGCTCGACGTAACAGGGTCCAACAGACCAACCAGCCCCAAGTGTCAGCCTGCCAGCCACCACTGGATCCAGGATTCATTGACACAATTGTCTCAGCAGCTAAGCTGTCGCTGTTAGCTGCATGTATATGCAAGATGGTCCCTCGAACTCAAAATCTTGGACTATTTACTCTTTGCCTGCTGCCGCCACGGGCATGCAGAGCCTCGATCTGGCAGCTTGACACAACAAACAAAGCCGGTTAAGTAATTCCCTAGAATGTTGCTTACGTAATTTTAAGCATGCTGCGTTAGTTCTTATACCGTGCGATTGGACAAAGCGATTCTGACGCAATTGTACAAGCTGCCAGTTCAAGGCTCTGCATGCCTATGGTGACAGCATGTAAAGAATGAATAGAGGGTTTGCGTGGTAGCCATCTTACAGGACAGTTCTTTTGTTCAAAAGGGTGTACACAAAGGTTTCCCTCTGAAAGGGGGCAACAATGAAAAGCCTCAGTGGCACCTTGCTGCATCTAGTAGGGTTATGGATATTTCTTCTTGAGGTGGCTGCAGGAAGAACTTCAATTTTTGGCTTTACCTTCACACTTTGATCGACGGTAACACCAGCCTTGTCCACTGCATCTCTGTATGTCTGTGTATGACCGACAGTTATGGCGGACATCTGCAAAAGACAATCTGTACTGGTGAACACGAGGTTGTAGGTTCGAGTCCCACCCCAGTAATGCTTCTGGGGTTTTTCGCAAGCTCTATTGCCGTGTTCCCATTGGACTTTTTTGGTTAACTTACCGCAACTTTCCTGTAGAATTACAAAATGAAATGTAAAGGGAAAACACTGTAAACTAATGTCCCTGTCAATTTACCGCGATCGCGATGTAAAACTAACAGGCCAAAAAGGGTCGCGGAAGATTTCCGCACAACCACAGCAAGTTAGCAGGGGTGCCAAAAAGTCCAATGGGAATAGTTCCCATACAATGCATATTGACCATGACCACGCTTATCCTACGAACCAGACTACTCCTACACAGAGATCAGCGAGAACACAAAAATGGTTGTATGGTTCCCATTCTCCAGCTCAATGCATAGAGTACAGCAGCGTGCCATGCACACACAGTGAAGAGTACCCGGGTAAAGCTATCCACACATTGTGTACAGGGCTTTTCCTGTATTGCCGAATTTGTCATATTTGTCTGACAAATTTGGCCGAATTTGTCTGATTTTGTCATTTTTTGGTCAGAATTTGAGGATTCTGTCATGCTTTGTACAGTGCAGGCAATGTAATCAGCTGGTCTTATTAGGCCTAACACAGAGAAAAAACACTCTATTATGGTAAAAAAAGTCCATGTGGGAATGTGCAGTAGACTGACATTAAGGAATGTTGTGGTAAGTTTCTGTGCGCCCGTGGAAGAAAAAGTCCAATGGAAACACGCCTTATGACAACATCAAGCTCACAGTGCTACATGTGTTATGAATATATCGGCGAGAGGGCACAAAAACACCCACCATCCCTCTCATCATGTCTACTGAAGACACAGACAGATTCTCCTCCAAAAATGGTTTTCAAGACTTAAAGGATGTTACTTTCAAGCAAGACATGTGGGACCAACACAATTAATCTAAGACAGTGATGCACCGAGTCTTTCTGTGCAGCAATCGACCGTGACGCTCATCATTTGAATTAAATTTGAGGCCCCTCAGGTGAAGCAAAAAATGCAAAGAATTCAGGAAAGAGGTATAACAAAATTATTAACTGCTGTGATGAGGGATATGATGTTTTCACACTCTTGGGAATGCACAGCACCCTTGGCTTCGTCTCGGGTGCTGTGAGTTCGTTGGATGTTGAAGTCTCATACCCCATGTAACGGCAGACAAATAACTGTTAGGTGACCTACGTTCTGTAGCGTGCTGGACAGGTGGCCCATCATCAGCTCCACGCTGTCGGCCACCCGCTTGCTGTGCTTTTCGATGTCCGCCAGAGCCGTCGGGTCCACCGGGGGGATGGCACTGGCGCTGATCCCCGAGGGGCTGAGGGAAGGAGTGCGGCTGTGGGAGGAGGACGGCGTGTGGCAGGCCGAGGAACCGGTGCTGCTACCTGCAGGGGACAACATGGGTTGTCAGGGAGGGAAAAACAAAACAGACTATGAACATGTCTGCCAACGGTGTGTAAAATGACACAGGTGGCATACTTTGACATAACTTCTCATGACCGTGGCTGATCATGATTTCTTAAGAAGCGCAAAAAGCACAAAAAAGGTTTAATAAAGTAAAAAACTGAGCAGAAAGTAAAACAAGGGATATCAGCTTTAAACCAAGCATAGCAAGTGGAACAAGGGTTTTTGCCTTTTATCCTAGGCAATAGGCTAACTATTATCATAAACTAACGTCTGATCTTTTTGGACAAGTGATCTTGATTTCTTGACCAGGTTAAAGCCAATTCAACTTCAGTCAAAACTCTCCTTACTTGCCTCAGAGGGAAGTTTCACTTTACAGACAAATCTAGTGATGTTTCATGGGACATTTCTGATGGCCCCTTTGACGGGCTGGATTTTGCATTGGGTGACTGTCATGGTTCTGAATAATAGCTTCAAAATGTCAATCGCCATTGGTGGGGGACCATAGTAATGACTTGTGATAGTGTTACCAAGGTCATCATACATGTACTTGTCTACATTTGCTGTTTCACCAGGGATTCAAGTCTTAAGAGGGAAAATTACTCAGACTGAAACACCTCTATTAAAACTGATTTCTATATTTGATCAATTAGATTCAGTTAATTCCACTCTTAGTGGCTTGTCCTTACAGTCAGTTTGGATGAAATTTCAGTCCTTGGCAAGATGGGGATCGAGCCAACAAGTAAAGTCTGTGGCACTCACAAACAATTCTCTCAACACTCAACTGTAAAAGGCCTGTTCATTCTTGGCAGGAATGCAAACATAAACACAAGTTTGCAACATCAGATCAAATACCCGGTATTTCCTGGGGATTCACAAAACTTGAAACACATTTTCAAGTAATTTTCACTGCAGATGTTTCTAGATGCTCAACAGTGCATTAGGAAAATAGCCAAATAGCAAATGGAAAATAGCCTCTCCATGGTAACCTCTTAGTGGTACACTGTATTGTGAAATATCGTTATTGGCACCAAAATTGAAGTGTCTGATTTTGACATCTACATGTACATGCACCTTACCATCAAACAGCATTAGTCAATGAATAAACACGGAACCATACTGAACTCCTAGCAAGCTACATGTACATATAAGCCTGCTGGACGCATTAATGATTTTGCACAAACCCCTATAATACTGGATTTTTTGCACACTTTAAATGCAAAGGTACAACATCTGCAATCCACAATCCTCCATAACATGTATTTATCATAATGCCAAAGTAATGCAAATACATACATGTACCGTACCTGTCGCCCCTGTGCAACAGAGATGGAACAATTTTCAAAGCGGACGGGGGAGGGGCCAATTGTGAGATCATCAGGCATCAGCCATCAATAGGCCAATCCACTAAGCCCCCATCGATTATAGGACCTTCCAAAAACATGGGGGGGGCATGGCCTCCCATGTGTTTTGCCCACCTGCCGCCAAACACCAACATCAATTCATACACAGGTACCGGTATCTCAGATTGCAAAGCAGCCTCAAAGAATTCACCATATTTTGAAAAGCACATGTAAATGCTCTAGTACAGTGTATTTTCAAGATGTATTTTTGCGGTGGGGAGATGTTAATTATATAAAACAGGTTTTGCCCTTACCCAACGTATATTAATAAGCACTGTATGCTCAGTGCTTGTCCGAGAGCTTGCGAAAAAAACCTCATAAGCTTACTCGGGTGGGACTTGCACCCACGACCTCCTGCTTACTAGTGCAGATGTCTTAACCACTCGACCACCGTCAGTATATGTTGGGTAAGGGCAAAACCTGTTATACATAATTAGTACAGTGTAGTAAAATACAGTTCCATGATCATGATATGGAATGGAAATCCCACATACACCATGTACAAGTAGCTGAATATTTAAAACTGGTTAGTCGTACCGGTACCTTCACACAAATATGATAACACTAGTATAGTACAAGACAAACTGGCATTCACAACTGCTTCTTACCCATGATTCCTGGTGGTAAGACAGTCCAAAACAAAAACATGAGGAGAACTGACATAAGCAGAGGGAGGATGTAAACATAATGGACAAGGCTAGGGGCTAGCCACACATGTACGGTGCACCATGCAAAACAATACTTCTACAAGCCTATCGGGAAAAAAAATACCCATTTACCACAACGAAAATATCTTGACTGTGATCAGTGATCAACTGCCTGACACTGAGTTAAACTGAGACGGTTTTTAAAATCTCAGCTTCGACTTGGGCTCAGTGGCGAAGCTACATGTACCGGTAGGATTTTACGTGTAGGGAGGCACAAAGGGGGTACCAGCATCTTATGGGGGGCACTAACTTTCAGTGGTGAGGTTTTTCTGGGCAAGTTTTTGTTAGCCTTGCTCAACACCCATTCATCTGGGTTTTTTTTTTGGGGGGGGGCATGTGCCCCCTCCCGGTGGCTACACCACTGCTTCGGCTTATCTCAGGCTCTAACACCATCCCTTGGCATTTACTATCAAAACCACATCAAATGATCCAGAGTTTTGGCTTAAGACGGTTTAAGATTTCTATCGTTGAAAGTGAAGCCGCGATGAATGAACCATAAGGTTTCCAATTCGGGGGGACTAAATTTTGTTGAAGCCAAAGTCAGTGATGAAATGAAAAAGAAAATGTAGTGCCGCTAGAGAAACCAAAATGGTTTCTCATACAGGTTTTTCGTTTCCCTTTTAAGTGATGGAGGTGGCCTTTTTCGAAATTTTTTTTTAAATGGCATTTTCCATGATGACAGGTTACATGCAAGTCCACTCCCTGTTTTGCTAAATCTATTGTGACGGCACGAGCTCTGGAATCATCTAATTTAGGTTTTCAACTAGCATCAATGCAATGCACATGTACATGAAGCCATGCATACCTTATGCATACTTCGTGTACACGGACATGTACATCTGAGAAATCCATTCACTGTGCATGTAAGTATATGTATTGGCAGCGAAAAAGGCACGACATCCAGGAAGTTTCATTGAAAAAAAAAGGAAAACAAAAAGAGGAAGGCAGGGAAAAGGGCATGTTTATTTTCACTCAGCGTCGAGTCATTTGACAGTAAATTCTGGAACACTGGAGCTTGGGATGAATAACATGTCGGCTCCATTTATAATGCAATAGATATGATACAGATCAAGCTATGCAGCCCATGAACATGCATAAAGTACATGTATATTGACAGTATACATGTATAAAATGTTACCAACTACATTGTACATGTACATGTACATGTAATGTACGTGTACATGTGAATACACCCTTTCTGTACATGTACATCCTCACTGTACAAGTGCACATGTACCGTTACCATCTGTACATACATGCACTTACAGATATGTATATAAAATGTATTAGGAAAACTACGTTTTGAAAGATCGAACTGTATCATGATGCACTTGACACTGCATGAAATTACCCCAAAAAAGGTGCTAAATTTAGGACGGAAAGAAAACCATTTTGTTGAATTGGCCTTGACATTGCTGCTGGTAGATTTTATACAGTACTTTCATGCAACTGCTGTTGTTGGAAATGCTCTGCTCGCATGCAAGTACATGTACGGAACACCAGATTTTTATTTCATTGGTTGTGGGAGGCAACTACAGCAAGCAGTGGGAGGTGTACATGTACGTCACGCAGTCAGAATCCATGGGGAGTGGGACTATTACCAACAGTCACTCATTATCGCAAAGCTAATACACAAATAAAAGATTTGAATAACTGGTTGTTGGAAAGTCGACTTGCTTTTCCTCTGAGCTAGGAAAGTACAGAAATTCAACCAAGTAGTGACAAGCGCTCCGATTCATAAAGTCTGGGTCTGCAAGTTAAGTTAGAATCGGCTCTGAACAAAAAGTTAGATCAAAGAGCAAGCTGTTTATGTTGTCTGAAGATAATTAGGCAAAAAACATGCAACCAACAGAACTGAAAATGCGAGTTATTTGTTTTATTCTGGTTTTTGGTTGGGTTATTTTGCACGGGCCATAGTGTGGCTTACCCCTATCCTTAGCTTTCAATGGGTCACCGCTCTGACGGATTTTCTCCATTAGGTCATCGGCAACAAATGAAAGCATTTCCCCCTGGCGTGTCACCGTACCGTGCAGCGAGAGCGATCCCGAGGCCGACCCGGCTGGCTCCCCCCGTGGTGATTCGGCGGTGCTGCTGCTGCTGGTGCTGTTTGGTGACACTGCGGAGGAGGTGGAGTGCGCCCGGCGCTCCTTGGGCCGCACGCTGCTGGCGCCGCCCACCACGGGCTGGGCGTGGACTGGGTTGGTGCTGGTGTCGGCCTCTGACTTGGAGCGGAACCGGGTGGGCGTGAGAGGTGAGTCAGCCACATAGTGGACCGGGTAGCCGCCGGGCGGCCACGCCCCTGGAGATCCCACGGGCAGTCTTAGATCGTGATCAACACCTGCTGTGCTGCTGGCGGGACTACTGCACCCCGATCCTGCTGTGCGGACAATGTCAGCCTGATTATGCTGTTCACTGTCTTCATTGTCTCCGCACAAGTCCACTTTCTTTGTTCCAGTCTCACACTGTTCACATAAATGTAAATGGGTCTTTTCCCCTTCCTTGTTGGCATCATTCACCGAATCATCAACTCTGCCTTTCGGCTGGTTATTCTCCTCCACAGCGTCACGTTGATCCGCCAGTGCATCTTTGGTTTGATCTTCGTTAGAATCAGTGACTTCAGAGGGATTCCCACGTTGTCTTTGGTCTTTCTCAACACCACCTTCATCTGCAATATTTGGTCCCAATGTCTCTGCTTCGGCCATCTTCAACATGCCTTGAACAAAGGGTAAAAGATGGACATATAAGACTAGTCAAAATGTCAACTACTATCTGTTAAGGTGTAGAGGTGGTAGCAAATCAATTATTGCAAGTCCAAGTCGAGTCACAAGTCATTTTTTGCATGTCTAAGCTAAGTCACAAGTCGTTTGGTCAAGTCACAAGTCCCGTCATTTGATCACAGGTCAAGTCAAGTCCAATTTCAAGACAATATGGTCCAAACACAATTTCATTTCATTTTTATTATTTCGCAGGTCAATACAATAAAATGACAACCCAAAAAAAGCGCCCCTGCCGGATTGCTAATAAGTTAACCTAATAACTATCTGGTAGCTCTCTAGGCACATTTACAAAGTAACAAGACAGAAAGAAAAAAGCTAGAAACATACAGACAAACAATTATAAAATAGAATACAGGATAATAATTTAAAACATACACTAGACACTCTGACAAACAGGAAACAAAAAAAAATTACAACATTATAAACACTCAACCCTAGAAAAAAAAAAAAAGCAAGTCACAAGTCTTTTTGGTGTTGAAACAGCATCCTTTTGCTATTTATGCTTTACAAGTACACAGGGCTATATACATGTATGTACAAATAGGATGGAGAGGGGGGTTGGGGAGAGTTGAAAGACGGTAGACTTGCAGCTGTGCACCATCCACAGTACTTAGACTGAGATGCCCCCGTGACATTGTTCAGTATGTAAACACACAATTTTACATGTATGTACAATACAGCAGCGGGTTTAGCTCTATAGAATACCAAAGAAGTGAATACATCACAGGCACAAAATTATGTGTGTAAAAGGCATTAGTGTGAGAATCAGCACATGACCCATGTGTGAGTATACTCCATGTGTTAGTATGGCATTTACCAGTTTATATATTTATAACATCACACTTCAGTACTCTATAATGTAAGTACAATACAGTGCTCAGCAAGTCTACAACATTATCAGCTCTATCACGTACATGTATGTACGTACAAATTCCTGTCACCCACAGATGAAAGCCACGCTGTGATTGGTCCAATTTGTTTCCATTCCAAAGACCAATCATAACTCAGCTTTCATTTGGATGGGGTTAGGAAAACAAAAGGAAAAGATAGGAGCTGTGTTACAATTGGTCAATCTATCTCACACATCTGACAGTTATTGAGACTATTTAGGCTGATTTTCTATAGTTTGGATGGGCAAAATGCTAAAGAATTTCACCATTTTAATGAGGATAAGGTGAATAATCCTCCCCATCTGACATCCAACTTCCCCAAGAAGGCATGTATGAAATTTGGCTGCACAAATAGCTGTGGTGGAAGAGTAAGTTGGCATCAAAAAAGCTAAAATGTGTTTATGGGGGTTTGTACATCATACATGGCTATCTACCATGTCTACAACTTACAAGGTTTGTATAAACCTTGCAGTTCTGGAAGTACTCAAGTAGTGATATGTCGGGTCCCAGTTACTTGGACCATGGTGGAAGGACACAAACCATGGACTAGTCCTATGTGCAGACATGGCCTGATGGCAGACGTACTAAAAAATGAGTACTGGGCCTAGTATACTATTACTACATGTAGGTCACTGCACGAAAAATCAGTGGCATCCATAGGCCTGTGGAATTCTTTGTGATTAGTTTTTTTATTCCTCAGTGGTCAGACATTATGATGAGATGGTTCTTACGTCATCAGTACACGTGCATGCATTGTACGTACGTGAACTGAACTACATGTAAATGACAGCACCTCTTGTCTGCTTGTCCAGCACGTGTCCGGAAACTAGGCAACAATTTACCTAAAATCACCTGCTTCACGGGCCGGATGGTCCTCCACTTAACATTTCTAATCCTAGTCTCCGTTTCATCACTGACGTTAACCAAACAGTTCTTCTTCTGCTTTCTTCTCGCTTGAAGATTTCAGTATCCTTCTTGACTTCATTAGGCCTTCGTGGAATTCTGAACTCGGGTCCCCACCTTTACGGTGAACAGTTAGTTAGACACCGTACATTTGTGCAGATTGACAAGTCGAACAAGACGCCCTCTATCCCTTACTATATATGCTGCCTCGCTGCTTGCTTTACTGCAAACGTTCAAAACGCACCTTCGGTCTCAGTACCATATTTTCGACTTTCGTTTCAATATTTCAAAGGGTATTTTACTGTCTTTTGCTTTTATACTAATAATAGTTGCACATTCATGTGCCAAAATGTGATTTTTATCGCAGAAAGAAGCTTCAATGTTACGTTGGTTTGTACACAACTTAAAAAAAAAATTGGCAGATTTTAGTTGGACTAAAATGTTCTCTTCTTTGCTGATTCAGCGTTGTTTATGCGTATAAAAGTAAGTAAGCATGAATCCCTTTCTCAGAAATGTTTTCTGTAAGTAAATTCTGTGTTGAACAGAGAAACCTATGCAGTGAACCATGTCTTCCTTGGATGATAACGCAGAAACAGTCCAGTGACGAAGCATGGATAATTTTTAGTGTACAGAAAAGTGCGCTTCTTCATGCAATTTGGTTTAAAAAAAAATTGATGGTTCTGTTTTCTCCTTAAAATGCGTCGTGAAAAGCAAGTTCGAGTGGTTAAGCTCGCAGTTGTGAGATCTTTGGACGATGGGCTCGACTTGCTGTGCACGGCTTTTGAGTTTTCACCAACACTATAGCTGTCGGTCACTGAGAACATGTATACTAGGCTCTGGGCAAGTTTGGTCAAGGACCACATTAAGCCCCACCCCATTATAGGACCTGCAAAAAGCGGTGGGGGTGCCCCCCGTTGAGTGGGGCGGGGCTCTGCGACCCCGCCCCTTAGCCACTCCACTGTATTGTTTTCGTTTCAATTCGTCATGAGTCAATCATGAGCTGTACCTAATTCACAAGTCGTTACGAGTGCGCTGGCTATGGAAGTTCAGTGCCATTTGACGGATTACAACTTCGTATTAACTTGATCTTGCGGTGTTAAAACCAAGTGGAAATTCGTCACGGTGGCCTCGAACAACTACAATAAGCCAAAGGACCTGAGGTCACAGGCTTAAAAGACCTCCAAACCGAAACGATGCTGAGGTTTGGATCACCCCTTCCGAGTCGGATACACAGTAAAGGTCTTAATTCCGACTAGTCCCGTTGTCAAAAATATCGTCTTTATAACTCACAACCTTTACATTGCACATAGAGAACTTACTAGTTACGATGATGCACCCAGGGATTGCATTTCACTCTAAAAATCCCGGGTCAATCAGTCCCATTCCGGGTCAAATTATTACCAAGAAAGGGTAAAGAACAACCCAAAAGGGGGTCGTTTTTTGACCCAGAAAAGGGTCATTCTGAATGGGACCCAATTCTGGGTCAATCTGGCCCGGGAGTTTTTAAATTGTTCGATCCTCCTCTCATCAAACCCTCAGTTTGCATGAATTACTATCTGTTCAAATAATTCAGACATCGCCAAAATTGCGTCTCTTCACCAACAGCATAAAAAAATTACCAGCCTGGACCCATTTTCGTCATTTTCACGAGTGTACGAACCGTACATTATGAGGGAGGGGAGCTATGGACCCTCGCCAAAATATCATGAATGATGACAATATCCAGGACATAAACTTTGTCCCCCTTTCAGTTTGTACATCCTAGGAGGGGGTCCAGAAAAGGAGTGTTCTCACTCGTGAAAATGATGGGGGGCAGGACAGTCACCACACTCATGCAAAGACAATGAAATTCACGTAACTCAAAATACTTCACCAGTTAATTAATTTTATTATTGGAATGTATCGACTCGACGAGACATAAACTTTCTGTAGAGCCCCATTCTTTCAGATTTTTCGGAAGGTTTTTTGTATTTTGACGTCTTTATTTCTTTATAAGAACTGTGGACACAGCGAAACGAAAGAGCCCCCTCACTTTTTGTCCGTCTTAATTCACTATTATTAGCTAAATAAAAAGCCACAATACGTCCACAGCTATGTACACGAACATCCCTTGCCTAGTAAAAATAAAGATAAACCTATGTGTCACCAAGTAACAAAATAACTCACCGATGAAAATTTACTATAAAACTGTGGCACTCAAAGTAAAATCAATGCCGGAGCAATAACGCCGATGTGATGAAATCGCAGTTTTAGAAGAATTTCGTCACTTTCCTTGGTTGCAAGTTCAATGTTCATGAATTTTTCTTCTCATACTCGAGCTTTTTTGAGGGTTTGATTTTTTGTTCGTCACTTTCACTTCTGAAGTTACAACCTCTTGCTTGATGATAAAAATAACATGACAGGCACGTGAAACGGAGACAATACTGTTTATCATTTATGAAGAAAGTATTGGTAAAAAGTAAAAGAAGTCACAGTGACAGTCTTCAGCCTCATATCAATCCAGCCGAAGTTCTCAAGTAGTTTGAAACATTAACATTCACTTGTGTACAACCCTCGTGTTGCCATGGTCAATTTACTGTAGTCTCATCTGATTGGTCAACTGAGGACTTCTCTTCTTTCAAACGCTTGTTGCCCCGCCTCCTGTGAATACACAAAACATCGACATAAAGGCGTTATCTATTTTCTGAACCGAAGTGTTAATTACAATTGAAAGTACACACAGCGCCATTTTCAAGTCCATGAGAAAGCTCCTATTTTATTCGGTGTTTTCGTTACACCTCTGAGACTGAAAAAAATCTTCACCGTCGTCTAGAGACTTCTCTAGCAAAGGGAAGGGGGAAGCTGCTCATCCAGCATGATACCAATTGCTTTTAATCAATAGAGGAAATACTTTAGAACCGGTACCACCGCCTTTCTTTGGGGTGAGGATTCTGTCACTGATGGACAATAATCAGTTCTACCACCCCCACCTCCAACAAACCTAGAGACGTCACTGCTGTCTTCTCTTCACAGATTGTTCATATAGGTGCCAATGCAAGACAGTTACTTTTACCAAATAATATTTCATTCCAAGAAACAGAACAATAAATGGCTGTCTTTTCCTACTAACCCTCCATCTAGCGCAGACGTTGGTGACTCTAGCCTTGCCCTTCGGCAATGTCTTGGTGACCAGCAGAGCTCGACAAAGTCTCCCATCTTTCTCGACCTCGTCTTCCACCTGCTCCTGTGAAGCCAGGGAGGCCAAGCCCTCGGATTCGCCCTTCTCTGCGTTATCAACCGACAAGTACTCTTCCCTGAAGAGACAATGGTTTGTGTACAGGGTTTATCTGCGTTTACAAGCTTTCGAGTTGAGTATACTTCAGTAAATGTTGTCGCAAGATCTGCTTGATCCATGACTCTGGAAATTCCAGCTGATGGCTATATTCTATCGCGCAAAGCCAAAGACTGAATTTTTTAAAATTAAAGACCTGTTTTCCATGGACAGAGACGAAAACACGGTTCTAAAGAGGGCCCTATAGGCATGAATCACCATTGATTCCCAAGTCTAATACCCAATTTAAATTTTGTGGTATACTTATTCATTTCCTGTGGTGGACACATTACCTGTGGTGGACGCATTACCGGAATAATATTGCTAGCATTTTGGCTGCCAAGATCGTGGAGAAAATGTTTACAAAAAGCACAAGGAAAAAACACGCGAAACCATAATTTATTTATGATTGCTCACCTGAGACTCCTCTGCCATTTGAAGCTACCGAAGTGCCGTCTCGATGTGTCTCTCACATGCTCCTTCCATGACATCGAAGTCCGATGCGGCTGATGTGACAACACCTCGCGCACAGCCGGAGCGCGGCCCATCCTCACCTCGGTGGAGTAGGCTTTCTGATACCGGTCCAGACTGGCGTGCGTCAAGGACCGCTCCATGTTTAAAATGATCATCGCCCACTGCCATCAGGAAGGTAGAAAATGGATAAGAGAAGGTCTATGAATCAATATTCGAATGGATGACCAGAACTTTCAAAAGCATGGTAAAACGGAGGGATGTTTACTTTGGTTCCTTCGGGATTTTCTCTAAAAATTCGAACCCACAGTAGCCACCTGCTGTAGCATCTACAGCATATCGGAGCAAATCCATGACTCAGGGAACCTTTTAATACGTTAGTCACTCTAGTAATCTATCCAGATTCAATGATGCAAAAATCTTACAAGAGATATCTGACTTGTAACAAGGGTGTGTCGCATGGCCTTACGGTCAAGTCTTTGGTAGGGGGTTATTTAACCCCCTCCCCGAAAAAATGCTTGAAAGCGAATAAGGATGTGCGCAGAGATTTCGAGTTTCATCATTCGACATTTGGACTAATGGTGATTCTGTTGACAAAAATCTAGAAAATTTGTCATATTCACTTTTGCCACGACGTGCCTGGTAAAAAAAACCAGTATAAAAATTCACATCTCCCCAACAAAAGAATTAAATCTTGTAAAAACAAAAATCGCCTCATGATTGGTCACCTGCCGTTTCCACTCCATTCGCGAACGGTCCTTGATCTTCTCAAACGTCCGCGCCATTTTGGCAATGAGCATGTTCAGCAGCAAGACTGGAAGGACCAGGGCGAAGACGACGAAAGCAGCTCCCACCTGCCACGGCGCCCGAGATGAACGAAGATCTGCTGTCTGTTGGAGAAGAGTCGCTAAGACCATTAAACCTTCTGGATGCAACGGAGTGCCTTCAAACTACCGTTCATGAACTGGGTTTTAAGCTCTCCCTGTACCTACAATCCTGGACAAACCTCGTTGGAACATGCCTCCCCCTCACCCCCTGCCAATGTTGTTTCTCATTGGGTAAGTTGGGCCGAGTCTTGGTCCAATAAAGGACCGCAACATTGAACGGGGCTGGGGGATCTTTTCACTGCTTTTTCACGAGGTGTTCCAACTATTTTGTCCAGGATTGTAGACCGAAAGGTGAACCAGTGGCGTAACTTGGGGGGGGGGCATCCTAGCGAGAGTCAGTGCCCCTGGGTGCCTCCCTCCCCTTTGAAATTTAGAAATGTGCACGATGCACACAAGCTGCAGCTAGTCTTTTAGTACCCTTCCAAAAAATGTATAAATCTCCGGGTACGCCCCTCCCGATTTTCACTCTAGTTATACGTCGTTGACGTCACCATAAACAAGACGTGGTCAAACAAGGTTTAATTAAGCGGCTGCAAAATGGAGCCGAACATTTACATCTGAACTTGCCAGCCAATCTTAAAGGAAATTTTGGGAAACAAGCTTTGAAATGAAGTTCGTGTCTCACAAATTCGAGCTCACCTGAAATTTGGAGAAGGTCATGTGAAACATGGTGACCAGCGTGCTCTTGATATCTATGTAGCCACTTTGCTCCGAGACACCAAAGTACGCGTAGTAGAAAACTGTTTCATTCGAAATTAGAAGGAATTCTGAAAAACTGGAAAAACGTTTCTTAAAATGTCTGAGTTTGGACTTTTCTCAATGACTGTCTTCGCATAAATTATCGTTTTTGCTTAGAGTAGACCCTCAATTCTCAGCAAGTCTTAAACAAGGGGGATTTAAGAATTCGATATTTTCTCCAAAATAATTTCTTGTCAGACGATACATTTGAAATGCCGGTCGTGATAACTTGTGAATTATCCTAATTCTAGATCTGGCCAAAGTAAAAACATAATTACAGATATGCAGCATTGATCATAATTATTCTCTCTCGTACATGTAAAAGTTAACCATCAGTTTTGCCTCTTTTGTTCTAAGTAGGCGTTTTTATTTTGGATACGAATGTTGGCATAGTAATATTTAACCCTGTATAAATACTCTTAAGTTTTTTCAAAAGCAAATTCTAAACCCTATTTGACCATTTTTTTAAGCGAGAAAAGATCACTCTGCATCAAACACGGAATGTATGAGTTTGAATTTGTTGTGAGGTCATGTGTTCCTCTTCGATGTCCCACCTCCTGCAAACATGTAGATGAAAATGCAGTAGATGATGACAAATCGCAGCAGATCACCGGTACACATCTTGCCGATCATGACGACCAGTGGACCCAGCTTCTTGTGAGCTCTGACCGAAACAAAATATTCAAAAATCACAACAAATTGCTCTCTGTATAAAAGTCCGTCCACAGCCGATGCCATTCATGCATCAAGCCATGACCAGTGCTTATTTAAAGTTTCTCCAGCCTAAAAAAGACGAATGGCTCCCCATGGGACGCCGGTCCGTCACTGGTTACGCTCCGGCTATTATTCTGCCAAACACATCCAAAGTTGCAGAGAGGTATTAAAATATGAAGGCGAAGTGACAGCCTGTGACCGCTTATACAAACCCTAAAGAATATAGGATCTATATGACAGTTTCCCTTTGTGATAATTTACGTGTAAGTAGGCCCTATCGTATTTTTTTCGCAAAGGCATTAGTTCACCGAAAGAGACAGGATTTACCCGACAGTTTTAAACAAGTATGGATGAAAATGAAATTACCGTAGAGTCCTCAGCTCATGTCTTAATCTGTTTATCGAATCTCGGGATCAGTACAGCTTATAGCAACAAAATCTAACAGATTTCGAACAAATGCAGTTTCCATTTTGGCAATACACTTCAAAAGAGAAGTTTAAATTACCACCACCGTAAACTTCAACAGACTTATGCAGAAACAAACTTGACTTTTCAACTGCACGCCCTCGTTCGGGACTACAACCCATCTACCTTTAACAGCCGAATTTTCCAGTGTTGGGATAGTGCTGTGTGCAAAACCTTTCAATTCTCGAATTTGAGAACTGGTCCCTTTTCAACAGACATTTCAAGAAGACAAGACATACATCGGTGGCAGAGTTGGCGGGTTCCTCACCTGTAGAAAAGCAGCAGATAGCACCACGACAGCACGACGGCCATTATGAAGAGGGCGTCCTCGGCCTGACGCTGTCGCAGCAGGCGCAACGGTACGCAGGCGTACAGAAGGCATACAGACACCAGGGATAGACACTTCTCTGGAAGCTCTATCTATCGGGGGAAAACGGTCAGGCAAACTGATCGAAACGTTGAGGGTTTACTCGTGTGCCGCAAAACCACACACACAAATTCAAAGGCACAAGGGCAGATGGGGGGGGGTTGACAACGGGGCAGCCACAATAAGACATTTTTATCTAAATGAATGCGAAGATTTGGTTTATTTCATTTCCTCTCCTTTTGAAAGCGTTTAAAACTCCCCCAAATGTTGCCTCATCCCTCATAAAGGCCATAAATACAACACGAAAAAGTTGCCATTTTGGGCCTCCAAGAAAAACAACCTTGGTCCCCAAAAACTTTTGTTCTGGATGCGGACTTGAGTCAACAGAAAGATTTCCAAGGGACTAATCTGTTAAAAGCACAGCATGCAAAATGCTGACAGACCATAGAGTTCTTATATTAAGAAGTCACAAAGCCCGCTCACCAAGGAAAACCCTTTCTGATAGTTTATAAATTTAGGTGACCCATATTTTCCAGTTTTTTTTTTATTTCCCCAACGTTTTTCACCTTGGTGAGAACAAAAGGGGGCGCCATTCAAAACTCGTGGGAGTGAAACCTTACAAAACTTTTGATGACAGTCCCGTGCTGAGTTCTCAGTTCGTAGAAACCAATGAAGAACTTGACAGCGCAGCTGACAAGTACCAGCACCTCCGCTGTAAACCGAACCTGAGATTTCAAGAAAAAAAGCAAGGCAGGTTTGGTGGACCACTGAGTCATACACTGTCCCCTTTCGACTGCCCATCAGATTGTATGTTGTTGTCAGTGGCGTAAAACTAGGCTTTGATTTACAACCTATGGGTGCTCTTTTCTTGAGGGACATTTGTTTTTTGGTCTTAGTTTCAAAAGACACACGCATTCCGATCATGGAAAGCAAAAGGGGAACAAAAGAGATCACAGGTCGTTCCAAACGTCCACGATTTTATGAGTTCCTCCTGTTCGTTTTAGGATGTACTTACATAGCTAGTTGCGTCTGTGACCGTCATCAGATCACCACTCGGTCGAAAATACACCGCCGCCGAAATGAGCGACAGGTGGAAAATCGTCCAGGCGAAGCGCACCAACAAGATTTTCTGAAGTCAGAAGTGGGAAGAGAATGTAAAAACGAAATGAGCCCATTATGGGTCTTGAACCTTTGTCCGGCACTCAAGAGAACGATATTGTGTTACGTCTGCAGTGTCATAATTCGGAAATTTACGAAGGAGGTTTGAAATCGCTTATCAATATGTCCTGTAAGCCCCTGTCTAAAACATGCAGCGAATTAGCACAAAAAACGTTGATTCTTCAACCGCACATGATTCGGGCCTTTTCACGCCTGCACGACACATTTTACGGTTGAAGAGCTGCGATCAACAAATTATTTATGAAGAGCAAAAAAAGGCCAAATTTACAATGAACTTTTTTTATGAGAAACAGTACCCAGAGAAAACAATGTGGAGAAAGTATAAAGAATACAATTGTACGTGATTTTTCACGAGAACCTGCATTGCTGTAAATGAAATGGCGAGGTTAAATCAATTAAGTCCCTGTTCAACGAGTAGTCAATCACAAGTGGTCATTCGTAGTTACTTGAAAACCTGTTTTTCCTGAATGAAACTGCATGTGGAAGCGATTTCAAACGTATGGAATATCGCCGTCTTGCAATAATACTGAAGATGCGTGTTTGTCACGAAAGTTTTTAGATACATGTTTGACTGATAAAATGATGACAGAAAAATTATATGATTGAATTCCCGGCGTGTGGGGACGCGACACGATGCACGCTATATTTCTCCTTGACACATACTCGTTACCGTCGTATTATGACGATGGACCCGTTTCCCATCGGAAGGTCGGTTCATTCTGACAAATTAATTAGTGTAACCTAATGAATGAAATTTGAGATTCACCGTCACAGGCGTTGAGCCAGGACTGTAGTATTGGGTCCTTGGGAATTAATCATATAACGACATAAAAGCGTAGGCTTATTTATTAATTCATCAAAAATTCACCTCATAATTGCTTTCACCTTGACTGGTACACGCAGGAACGAAGAGCGATTTGGAAAGTTAATGGTTATTTGTAAACTTAAGTGACTGCACATGAAACCGCAGCTATAGCCAATGGCATCATTAGGGCCTCTTTCTTAGTGATACATGCTCGGCCTTTTTTTTTTTGAGTGACAAGACAAACTAAGAGGCTATACAATTATGAAAAAAGAATTTGTAAAATCGACACACAAATATCCGGATGTCTCGGCGAAGCCAAATTATTTGCGGTTCAACCCAAATGAAACTCTCAGTCGACGAGGAGAAAAGTCAGGTCCAAAATCCAAAATCTGTCTTTAATCTGTAACTGAAAAATCACTCCTATCTCAAAAGCCAACCCGAAACTCAACTTCAACACATAGACTTATTTCTCACCCCAAAATTCTACACAATATCCTACACTATAACCAAACTCCAAACGCAGAGAAAGTCTTAAACCTGGCGGCATTACACAAACCCCATCGAAAGCGAAACCAGAAACTACCACAAATGACGCTGTGTAAACTCAGACTCTTACCTTTATGCCTTGAACCACGACCTATCTCGACAAAACCAGTACACAATCTTAGACACACACAACCAAAGCAAGACCCAAAATGAAGTCCCCAATAGTTGTATCGTTACCAAAACATCAATCTTCCCCTTCGTTAATCACCGAACGATTATCCGCATAACCTTGCCTTGGCGTATCGGTTCCACTTCTCTTCCAGTAGTTTTTGGATGATGTGTCCTTCCAGCATCTTCAAATGCTGAAGCTTACTTCCCTGCACGATCATTCTCAAGGCAGACCTCTCATCTGTTCAGGAGGGAAAAACTGCATCTAAAATTACTGACTTGTTCATCTTTTTAAATAATAGATAGTGACGATATCGCCTTGGTCGTTACTAATGTTCTGAGATCTATAGGCCCTACTACATGTACTACGTTGGCTGTTCAAAACGTCCTTTGTCAAAGAGCCAAAATGAAACGGGTAACATTGAAATACGTGTATTAAAGTGAACTCTCTTTTTTTAGTAACAGAACACTTTAACAACACCTTGTAGAAAGATGGATGCAGGTGAGAAGCAGGTTTTCAAATTATAGACGACACACTTCATGTTTTCTTATTAATGCACCGCACTTGCACTACACAAATCAATTTGTAGATGTGGGTCTGCATCGATGGTACCTTTAACCATAAATCACTTTTCTCTCTGCCTAGAGAAAGTTATGGCTCTCCCAGAGATTATTTTAACTCTGTCAGACCGGTCGAAACAAAGTGCCTTTTTAAAAATAATTTATATTCCGCAGAATTCGACCAGAGAAGGCTTTATGACTTTGGGGGTAATTTATGCGGTGCGCGTCGCAAGCTGAGTGATGCAAGTATTGAGAGACGGAACGGAGGATAATCGTATTATTTCGTCATGTCGTGGGGAGCAATGGCGAATCCAAGTGTTGAGTGGGAGGCAGATTAGGTGATGTTTTTCTGAAACTATTGACTTTTTCCATCCGTAAAGGGTTCCTCCTGCCCTTAATAAAGTGTTTTGTCGTGTTAAATTCCGCAGAAGTAGGGCATTATGTCCTTCGGGGTGGGGCCAGGTTTGCCCTTTATTCTCCATCACACCCCTATACCGAACACGCCACTATGTGGGAGTGGTACATGTGCGTGCACGCGCATCCCAGACCCTTCGCTGAAATGCACATCAAGACATTTTCTCCCCAGCAAAATCGACGCAGAGAATGTCACTTCATTAGGCTCATAATTACGACAGCTGATATTTTAAAAGCATTTCCAGTAAGATCTTGTCGTCTTATTAAAGTCCACTGAAGCTACGCCACACTAATTCCCGAGAGATATGGCGGTGAATATGCTTGAGCCAAAAGCAATTCTACAACCCGTCTCGTGGCGGAAATCAGTACATCCCTGGTTGTCATTAACAGCGCGGTGCTTTCATCGTCCATCCTGACCAATCACCGGGCTTTTTGTTCCATTAAGGGAATGAATTTTGTCTTCATTTTAAATCAATCTAACAGCCCATTTTGCCGAGATGTCGATGAATTAAGCGATCCGACCCAGTGGAAAATCTTGACACGGCCACTGGGAATTACCCGCCAAATAAGCCGATCATAAGTGCAATTCGACGAGGGAAACGAGTGCTCTGGACACGGTGACATTTGGCAATTTCCGAGGAAGCGAAGTGTAGTCATCCGATGCGTAAAGCCCAATCATCACCGAAATACTTCGACACTTCTTGAGTAAAACGTTTACACACTGGACAAAGCATACCTAGCTCTTCATTTTGACAGATCCGAGTCTCATATTAGGGTATGAAGTTGAACTCGGCATGAGTGGAAGCATTACCAGTTTGGACTCTATACCGATTGCCAGTCAAAGAGTAAACCTCTTCAGCTTTCGGATTGTTTAGTAAATCATGGACCGTTGACACCCTGACGTATGTGTGAAAACGCCACGATGTTTGGGATATAATTCGCCGGTTCAGTTAAAGTAACTTTCCAGTATTGAAAGTTAGATCCCAGGATCAAAGTATGATTTTTCTTTAATTAATGTTTAAAAAGTGGTCCATTCTGCCGTAAAAAAAAAGAGAAATGGCATGGAGAGGAAGTGGTTGCTGTGGTGGACTGCTGGTAAAGAGACACTGAATGAGGCAAACTTTTTTGTTCCCCCCCCCAAGCCACTGGTCCTGTCACCTTGCCCTCCGTAAAGCGGGGATTGTTTCCCCCTAGCAGCTAACTTAGGGCTGCCAATATCCACGAAGAAACTTTGTAAGGTTGCAGGTCAGTACATCGGTTTGAAATTGCGCACACTGGCCAACTTTTAATTGACATGCCTTCAAAGTCGTTGCTATACCGTGATCTGCGGACTGAAATGTTGCCACCCAAATTGGGACTTCCATTTCTGAGAAATTTGGACAGAACGGTGACTCTGAAATGGCTCTGGGACTGTGGGCGTTAGTTTTCATAATGGCGATGGGTCATTAGGGGTGATCATCTTAGGAGGGAAATGTCTTCAAAAGTCACTGATAAACAGCAATACTGAAAAGGAAAGGGGGATATGTGAGGATATAAGCTTAATTCGAGCGCCTGAGTAACTTCTGAGTATACCATTCCTGATTTTTATCATTGTTATGTACATATTTATGGTATCGTTTCATTGGATCTGCATCCGATGACTGAATCCCACCGAATGAGCCTTTTAGTTTTCTTCGTTCAAAATACCGGAGAGGTGGTCACTCACTCAGCTCTCCGCCAGGGCCGATGGAGTCCAGTCCGGTCAGTGGGTAGGCAACACTGGCCACCGTGCCGTGCGTCCACTGGGTCTCACTGGACAAGTCCAGTAGGTGGGCGAACAGCTCCCCGCGACCCAGGCGGTAGGACAGCTCCAGTGGTGTCAGACCGGCATGGTTGAAGATGTCGTGGCGGGCGGGAAGGGCGGTATGGTTGATGATGTGACTGATCATGTGCTGGAATTAAAAGATGAGCGTACAATGAAGACAATTTTTTTTCAATAGAAGAGTTGCTGAGGCCACTGTTAATTTATAAACTTGTTTTAGTAGCGCTCCTAATCCTCGCCCACCCTTCGCCCACCCTACACTCCAAAAGCTGGGTTTTTGAACTGAAGAATGACCTTGGCAGGGAGACTGGTGTAACAGATCCTATTTTGGTCCTATACAGAGCCACTAACACCACATTTTTTGCAGTGTAGAAACACGAATATTATGCGGCCTATGACTTCACCTTTGCCCAACCAGTGGTTGAATCCATCAGGCCCGTTTAGGAAGCACTCCATGCGCCCATATGATCTATTCACAGGAAATCACAAGAAATCCAGTCTTATTTAGCCCGTACCTTCTGGTTGTGGATGATCACCATGTGCACCACGGTGTTCCCGAACGAATCCTTGGCGTCTGGGTTGACCGTCCCCCGGCCGGCCTCGTTCTTGAGCCCTTCGGCCACCAGGTAGTCGTAGATCTCGACGTTGCCCACGCTGGCCGCAAAGGCCAGCGGATACTCGCCGTAGTAGGCGTTGCCCTCGTAGTTGGAGGGCCGGAAAGCCGAGCTGGTGCCCTCCTTGAGATCTGTGGGCCGGAAGAAGCGACCAGTGGCCCGCTGGTCCAGGCGAGCCTTGTAGCGACCGACCAGAAGCTTCACCCACTCCAGGTTGTTGTTGATGATGGCAAAGTGGAGACAGCTTTCACCTAAGAGGTGAATGGTGACAAACAGTTTGAAGAGGTGTAAAAAAACATCTGTCCATGGGCCGTATGTCGTAGTGATAAAACTGATTTGGTAAACTAAAGTTTTTGTAGGAATTACCCGCCTAGTGGTTATATATAACAGGTTTTGCCCTTACCCAACGTATATCAATAAGCACTGTATGCTCAGTGCTTGTCCGAGATCTTGCGA